ATTCAGTTTGTTATGGCAGCCTGTCCCCCTCCGAATTCCAACCTGCTCTTGCCACAGTCTTGGTGCCACAGTTGGATCTGACCTTGGAAACCCATGGGTTTGGTGAGCTTGCTAGAGAGACTATTCCAGTCCTCTCATGACTAAAGTTCAGGTTGAGATGGAGAACCTTAATGCATTTATCCATCAGTCATTCCATGTGCATGATGGGAGTTGTAGTCCACCTCATCTGGTGGACACTTGGTAGGGAAGGGCTGATTGAGGAAAGGGTGACTGAGCAGAGGAAGAACTCTGGGTGATTTGTAATAGATCAATTCAGGCTTCGGACTCCTAATAGGCTGCTGAAACAAAGGAAGCTGATGGAAAGATCAGGAGTACAGTTCTTTCTGTCTTTAATGAAAGGAGTGTCAGCTTAATTCATGTTCTGGAAAGGAATTTCTGGACTGAACACCTGGTCAAAGGCACCCTGTTGCCAAGAGAATATGTCCATTCCCTCAAGCCATTACATTGCACCTGGCTCCAGCTGGGTGCTCTCAGGTGTTCTCAGCAAAACCCAAAGAAGGTGGGTGGGTGGGTGTGGTGTTCTCTGCTTCTAATCCAAGGGTAGGCGAACTAGTGCCCTTCACAACTCCCATCAGCCTCCCATCAACACATTTGGAGGACACTCAGTTGAGGAAGTTTGTCATAGAATCAGGTTTTGTTCTAGAGACTGGAGGAGTCCTGGGTACCTAACACATTCTAGCCAAACGACTCACCTTGACCCTTAGCAGCAGCTGACCCGATAATGCATGACCTGGCTGTTTTCCCAGACATTCCCAAAATTTGGCCTTGGATTCCTACCACAGTCCACCCTGATGTGAGTGATCAGTGTCAACATTTCTTTTTCTCTTCCACCATGTTACACATTCAGCACTGAGAGAGGAAAACAAAGCTTGTCTGCCCCCACCCAGTCTGGATCCTGTTCCACCCACAGACACAGTGTCACCGTTAGAACTCCACTCAGGGAACAATATATTTGGTAAGCCTCTTGGATCTAAAGAACGTGGTGGATTCTGTTCAGTGCAGCCAAGGGGTCCCTGCACCTGGAACTGTAGAATCTAGTATGCAAAGCAGGGCTTCAGAACCAAATACCTGGTGGTACAATTGGGTCTTCTGGAAGTCCCCAGAAACCCCTGCCCCCTTCACTCTTCCCCAACCATCAATTCTTTGGTGGTTTCCTGGCTTTTCCCCAAAACATTCCTTTCCTAAGCCTTGCTTACTGGCAGTGAGAGCTGTAGGCACAGAAGGCTGGTATTTGGGGTCCACCTCTTCTGCCTTCAGCCATACCCTCCACTAGAAGGCAGCCCACAGGAACGTCTCCAAATTTGAATTTAGTTCTTGGGCTGGAAGATGTTCCCCATATCTGCTGTACAGCAACAATGGGGCAAACTTAACCTCTGCAATACCTTCCTTCTGGGGCAGGTTTTGAGGGGGCAGGAGCCCTTGAAAATGCCAGTATAGAGTCAGACCAGTGAGCCAATTCAGTTCCAGTGGTGGGGGTGGGAGAAATGATGGCAGAGCTTGTTGGACTGCAGTTCCCACCATTCAATCCATATGCATTGGCCATATGGGCCAGGACTGATGGGAGTTGAAGTCTCAGCAATCTGTGGAGAACTGGAGCCCCCTCTCCAGAGGTAAATAGGTCTGCTCAAGGGGATCCCCATCACCTCTCCTCTCTTCTCTGCAGACACAGATTTTGCAGTACGGGTCTTTTACCGGGGTCTTCTGGTCTCCACCAGTGTCTTCAGTAACGTCCGGGGCCTCCGCTTTGTACCTCCCGGCATTCCTGGCTGCTGTCCTGATTTGGCAGACGTGGTACTGCCCGATCCAGCTATTTTGAATGACAAGCTGCAAGTTTCTTACACACAGCGCCTTCTACAAGGGCTGGCTCCTGGAGTGATCCTCCGCATAGAGGGGAAGACCCTGTGCGGAGCCCGCCAAGGCCCTTGCCGTGTCTATTGGTGCCATTCCGAGATACCCGAAGAGGGAATGTCGCATGGAGAGCTACCAAAGGGACACACGGGCCCCATCTACCAATTGCAGCAGTTTGTGCAAGGTGTCCTGGAACTGCTCTGGTCCGTCCCCTCAGGACCCCTGCCTGGGGGCTCACTTTAGTTCGCCCTTGCCTCAGGTGCCCAAGCTCTGGAGTAGGAAAGGAGAATCAGCTGGGAAGAGCTGTGTCAACTTTGCCTCTCCACCCACTGGGGAATTGGGCACTATTTGCTGCACGTTTATTCCTCTTCTGCCCTTCCTAGACAGGCAGCGGGTTTACATTCTCATTTAAATGCAAGTTGGTGTGTAAACCTTTGGGATGTGTATACTTCAATATTGAGAAGTTGAGGAGGGGGATTTTAAAATTTCTCTCTTCTGCATCCTTCTTCTTGAACCCAGCATGCAGCAATCCTTGCTTCAAGAAACTGAGTAGCTATCATCCAAAACCTCTGGAGGTCCCCAAGCTGCCTACCCCTCTTCAGCTCATCATACCTGTGACTATGTAGAGTTCTGCTAAAATCTTGGGATTTCAGCTCATAAAATTTTTAGGTTAGGCTAGTAGCAAATTTGTGGGGATCTTCATGAATGTCTTGGACTTGACAGATCACTTGTGGTCAGAAATTTGAGGCTAGTGAAGAGCAATCAGGATCCAGCTATTCACCTGGGAATACAAGGTGTTTTATCTTCCTCAGGCAGGGCAAAAGAATATGGAGGAAATAACTCTCTCTCTCTCTCTCACTTCTTAGAACTGATTGGATACATAGAAGGACGGAATGGCTCCCCTAATTATGCTCTGTGGCTATGCTTTGGGGAGCAATGGCCTGACAGCGAACGCCCCTGGAAGAAAAAATTGATCATGGTGGAAGTAAGTGCCCATCCCTCTATGTTGCTAAACACATGAATGTGTGTCTCTGCTTTCTGAACTATTTTTCCTGTCTCTTAGGCCAGGTTGGGCAACTTGTGCTCTTCCAAATGTTTTGGTATAAAACTCCATCAGCCCTAGCCAGCATAGCCAATGGTGAAGGATGCTGGGAGTTGTAGGCCAAAACACACACAGCCACAAGTTCCCCACCTTAGTCCTAAGCAAACTGAATTCTCTTTTTCATTCCCTACAGTTGGCCATGCTGGCTGGAAGTTACAGGGGTTATAGGCCAGTGCATCTGGAAGGCAACAGGTTGGGGAAGGGTTCTCTAGACTGCACGATCCTAAATCTCTAGTCAATGGCCATGCTGATTGCTGCTGATGGGAAATGGAACCCAACAAAATCAGCCCCCCCCCCCCCCCACTGTCCTAGAATCAGGTAGCTTGTGCCACTCTGTGTTAAAGATTGAAATTGTATCAGCCGTGTCAGCAAGTCCTCTTTCCTCAAAGAATATATCCAGACATTGAGCCTACAGGTGGGTCTGCTTGGCTTACCGCTGTGCATGTTTATACATGCTAGTCAAAGCTGGTGCTTGCAGTCTCTTCACAGATGGTGCAGTACGAAGCTGCACCTGCACAAAACTGAAAGTATCTTGCCTTTCTGCTAAAACCTGCTCTGGATGTGCTTAAATTAAATGGGGAGCAAAGGCTTGCAGGAATAAATTTATTGTACCCTACATTTTAGTGAATTAAGACAGCTTTATCAGATGCATAAAGTGTAATGCTCAACTGGAGTCTTTTGTACGTCAAGGATCCAGAACCTCTCACCTGAGGATCAAATTCCATTTTGGTGGGCTGAAGACAAAAGGATGGGGCCAAAACTACCAAAGTACTCCAACTTTTCGCTTAAAGTTTTTAGTGCCGGTAACTAAGGCTTGGAAGAAGCATTCCAGCCTTTCTAAGTTGGAGAGGAGGGCCTGCACCCAAGCTGGGAAGTTACCAAACCATCAGCAGTCTGGGGGAAAGGGTGGAATCAGAGGAAGGTGCCACTTGGGAAACATCAGGACAATGTTGAGCTTCCAGTCCATGCCACAGGCTGCAGAACAGAGATACCCAGTACGAGGAAGGAACAAAATGCAGAAGATCTCTTTGTCTCCCCTCCCCTCCAGGTCATCCCCAAGGCTTTGGAGGCTCTCCACGAGCTGGGCAAGGCCCAGGGGGCATCCTCATTAACCAGAGCTGAGCCAGACTTGAGAATTTCAGACTCACTGCCACAGTCCCACTTTTTGGAACATCTGCGAGAACTGGAAATGAAGATGGAGGTGCAGTACGGCAACTGACCGTTCAACAGCACATCTGTTTCCCCCTGCCCCATTTCACTGACAGGCACCCATGGTCTTCTTTCTCCAGACGATTTTGAATTTTTCTACACTACTGCAGAATGGCATTTTCCCTCTTGCCTTTCCTGAGATGGGATGCATATGGACAGCTGAGATGCAGTCCCTTCTGTGACGAGGGCTGCAGTTCCCTTGTATACATTCTCCATTCTAGCAGCTGTTTGATTCAGTTATGGTGAATTAGCGTCTATGGTACTCTGAAAATGATCAACTGGTTTAAAAAAGGCTGCGGAGTGTTTCTTTTTCTCGTCTTGCTGGTGATGTTCCGTGCAGTCTCATTGTAAATGGCGCAACATAATCCAAAGCACAACCTGAACAAAACCAAATGTATCTGGCCGTTTTGGTAAAGCCTGATCCAGATAACGTACTCATGCTCACTACAAATAATACTTTCTGCTGCTTTTGCAGTCTCTGTGTCTTGTTCAACTATGAAATTCCGCTATAGGGATTTGCTGCCTTTAAAAATTCATCACCATCTGTACTGCTTAGTTCTTTTGCTGCAACAAGATCCCAGTTCAGGGTTTTGACTCATTTTCAATTCTACCAATACTTGTATTGGTCTCCCATCTCATCTTTCTCCTTTCATTCCTCAGTTTATTATATTTATATTCCACTTTCTTTTCTTCCAAGAAACGCAAGGTGACTCACATAAATCTCCTCTCAATTTTATCCTCACAAGAACCCTGTGAGGTAGGTTGGGCTGAGTGTGTGCAACCGGCCCAAAGTCAGCCAGTGACCTCCATGGCTGAATGGGACTCATTCAGCCATGGATTGAGTCCCATTCCCACTCTCTTAACCACTACACCACGCTGGATCTCTGCTGCTCATCTGGTTATCAGTACGCTTATTTTAAAGCTCTTCAGATAAGACTGAGGTCTCCCCTCAGTTCCTCAGGATTCATCAATTATGCTGTCTTCAGTCTAAGCATCTGCTCATGCCTTTTCCTTTGCAGCATCTGCCATCATTTTTATGGCTTCTCATAAGATCATAGGTCTGATTTGCAAGTAACAACCACCTGAGCATTGGCTGCTGTTGTGTCCTGGGTTGACACTACATATGAATCCTGCAGTCTGGTTTAACATAGGGAAAAAACACACACATTTGGTGCTGAGTTGTGTACTCTGGGTTGTTTGCAGTTACATATGGCATGTAAACGTGAGACACTAGGTTGTACAGGGGCTTAACCCAGCAGTTGACCAAACAGCAAAGCATGAATTAACCCTGGGTTGTGTAGCACCTACACCCAACACTCCAGGTATGTATGTCATACTCGACTCAGCCAATTAGCCTTGTTGCTTAAAAGTGGATGTGGCAACAGGCTACAGTAGCATTTCCACTAATAGACAGCAAATCTTGGAATAATTACTCCACAGTGGTGCAAAACAGGTCAGTGGCTGTTAAGTACTTGGGTCATATTTCCATTTGGTCCCTTTATCTGCTTTCCTTGAGCTTCTCGTTATTGACTGTATTTGCATATAATGTTGAGCCAGGAATCCTAGCTTAGTAAACTACAACGTGAATGACTAATAAGCTAGTGTACAAACCTAGGCACCTCCTGCTTCAATGTGAAATCAAATAAGGGAATGCTTTGCATTACATGCAAACACAGGATTGTAGTTAAGTGTACCCAACCATGTGTAAGCCAAAAACAAACCCTGGTTTCAAGTTGGCTTACAATGTATTCTTTGCACATAATTAACCATCATCCCAGGTTCAGGCTTAATTTGTTTATTAACCTGAGCAAAATAAATGGACTTCATGCACTAGCACAGTGCTTGTTCACATTGTGGTTTATTAAGCCAGGATTCCTGGCCAAGCATTATGTGTAAACACAACCAGTTATTTAATTTCAGATTGTGAGCCTGAAAAGCAGGGCACTTATTGTGAAATGCCTAATAATTTAGGCACTTTGTAAATACAACTTGGAGTGGGGAGAAGAAGATGTGTATAGTGTTTCAGTTCTTAATCCACCTTAACTGTGACGGTTGGAACAGCAAAGAGTTGAAAAGAGTTAGAGGGCATTAAGTATCCAGATATTGGTAGTGAGCCCGTCTAAGTCACTGCCTGGTTATTGTATGGTGTGATAACAGATCTCAGAGGTTAACTATGCACTGACTGATGCATCTGTCCTGATTCCCTTATGAATCCGTTTCACTGGATGATGCTCGATTTCTAGTATCTTTACTCGGAGAAAGACATCCATCTACTTTGTCCACACCATGCATGATTTTATAAGCAAATGGAGCCCCCTGAACTAGAAGACACCAAGTTGCTCCAGGGCTGCTGCGTACCTAAGTGATACACATTCACTGAAGGCCCACATCTGTCCTGGGCAGCATTCCCATTCTGCTAATCTCACCATGTGTTCAACCCCATGCTTTCCCGTAGTAGTCAGCTCTTGCAGTATTACAGGCGAGCCCTCCTCCACATGACCCCTCCCTCCTGCAGCCTTCCAACTAGAACCTCACCATCAGCTTCATGGAGCGAAGGGAGTTGCTGAAAGACACACTCTGAAAAAGGTTGACCCTGTCCAACAGCCCAGGAATAGTCACTGAAATGACAACTGAGTTGTCAAGGCCTAGCACCCACAACCACCTTGGAATAGAAACTGATGATTACCTCTGATTGTCTGTCTCAGCTTTTCTGTAACCTGGTGCTCTCCAGAAGCATTGGATTACATTTCCCAATATGTCCCAGCCAGATTGCTCTTGGCTCTAGTTTCCCTCCATTCAGACGCTATCCTGTCCCATTCAGGTATCGGTTTCCTGCTCTGGAACCATAAATTCAAGCATCAAAAAAAGCCATCTTCACTGCAAACATGGCTGCCCCTCCTTCCAAACAAATACTTCACTTGCTGCTTCTGACAATTGTTTTGGGAACTGTTTAGCATTCCAGTAACAAAGTCTCTGAAGTACAGGTAGCTTTATATACATTACCGACTCCAGACTATCAGCCAAACATTCCCTCACTTTCCACATCTTTCACACATTCCTTCTATCCTGCAGCTTGATCTACAGACAGTTATACAATTCCTCATATTTGCATCCTAATCTCAGGCATTTGCTGGAGGTATCCTTCCACCCCAGTGCAACTCTGTTGTGTACAGAATTATAGAGTTGTGTGTGGGGGGCGGGGGCAGAATTTAAGCCGTTTACGGCAGAGATGCTGAACCTTTCAGCCGGAGCGGAACTCCACTTTGAAGAGTAGTGGGCAGGGCCAAAAATACCAACATATGCAACTGAAAGCTCTTATAGTCTGTAGCTTTACAACTTAGGAAAGCCGTATCAGAAGGGGGGGGGGCTGCACAAAAGCTTGGAAGCCACCAATCCATGGGAGGATGGGAGTGTGTCCTTCTGGAGAACTCCATTGGGCTGGATTCATCCCATGGGCCTGAGGTTCTGCATCCACATTTTGTACGAGGCAGCAAATCCAGAGCTAACACATCCCCTACAGTTTGCTGTCTGGCCTCTGTGTGGAGACCTCTGGTGAGGGAGAGCCCATCAACTTTCTCAGTTGTTGGTTCCATAGTCAAACTGTTCTTACTGTCAAGGTGCTTGGGCTTCATACGCAACCAAAACCTCCTCTCCTGTGATTTCAGCCTAGCAGCTCATCTCCTGCATCGTAGGGCAACAAAGAGCCCTACGAGATAGGTCTTTGGATCTTTGAAGAGTGTGGTTTGCCTCTTCATTCTTCTCGGGGCTTAAATGTACCAATTTCCTCTAAGCATTCTTCACAGGGCTGTTTTTCTGTACTGCTGACCATTTTTGTTGCCCTCTTCTGAACCCATTCCAACTTCAGAAGAGCTTAGGCAGCAGATTGCATGATTAGGCTCAGAGGTGCTTTATGAAACAAGGAGCACGTTAACTCGGTGACCTCACAAAAACAACCTTGGGCCCCAGGCTTCATGAAGAGGCATGGACGAAATGGGAGGAAGGAGACTGCAGCACAGCATAGCCCCTGCATGGTAGCTGCACAGCCGAACAGCCCTTCCAGCCTTTCATTTAATACCTCAGTGCAGCTACCTCTAGGATAAGGAAAATCATGGGCACCTGTATGGGGAAACCTCAACCAATTCTGAAGGGGCACCCTTTTAAAAGACAGTTGAAGCCAATCTCCCTTGAAATAACTGTAGCAGCAAATCCAATCTTCCTAATGTTCTTATTCCTCAGATTGGAGATAAAACTCCAGCCACAAAACACATAGACCCCCATTGCTCAAGGACCACAGAGATGGAGCACGGTTTAGATGGCTAAATGCAGTTTATGAAGGGGAAATGGGGAGGGGAAGAATATGACAAACGTACAACTGGGAGGAGGGTATGAGGGGTGCCTTATCCTACCCCATATGGCAGGATGCTGCCATCTGTGGGCCAATCATGGTACTGCTGTTTCAGGACTGCTGACTGGGAGGGCAAGGATAAAACCATCAAATTAAAAACATGCTAAATGAGTAAAAACTAAGTGTTGAGAGGGAGGAATAATATCCACCCATTGTATCATGGGGAATTTTTGGAGTGATGACACTAAAAATTAGCCCCATCCTCTTCCATCTCTATTTACAGGGTAAAACACAAGTTGATTTGTGCCTAAAACTATGAAAAGTGTTTGAGGAAGGGGGTAGGATCGGGGGCAGGTAGCAGATGCACAAGAATCACACTTTCCAAATGCCACCCCTCCCAAACAAATTGGGTCTCCCTGACCCTCCCTTCCATAAGCCCCACGCAGCAAAGGAGGGAGCTGGGGGGCTTAGCCAAGCCTATTTGCATAAAGAAGGGCCATTCTGATTTTTTCCCTCTGGTCATAGGAGATCAAAGTGGGGGCATGGGCAAACCAGACTTGTCCAGGCCCCCTATTTCCTTGGGGGGGCCTGGCTCCTCATCCATCTTGCGTCCATGTTTTCGAAAGTACTTGTATCTCTGGACATAGGCCTTCACTAGGTTGTTCACCTTGACTGGATTAATTTCTCCACTCTTGCTGTGGCAGATCTAGATGGTTGGGAAAAAAGAAGAGTTGGTGCCTAAAAGCCCACCTCCACAGCCTGGTACCCCTCTGCTCCCAAGACTCCCCCTGTCCAGCTTTCCTACCTTGTGGACGGCTTTGCGTAAGATGTCTTTATATTCCTCCTTTGTGATCTCCTTCTTCTGGTAATAGGGCTTGATGGCAAGTTTCACTTCCTCCACTGCCCGCTCTTGTGTATGAAGCTTTTTCAGATACTGAAGTGGAACAGAGGTAGGCCCATTAACTAAAGTGGGAACACAGCGCACAGTAAAGCTGCTCCAAGGGAAGATGGCGGCAGCATGGGCACAGTTAGCGGCCCCACATTGACCGAGAGGTCTCTCTCTGTCCCTTGCCACCAAATAGCCCACTGCCAAACAGAAACTTCAGCTGAAAACTCCTAACCCAATCTTCAAAACATCCTTTGGACTTAAGGAGAGAAGCTGCTTTGGACTTAAGGCCAGAAGCATGATGCTGAACCAAGGGTTCATCTAGTACAGCATCCTGTTCCCACATTGGCCAGCCACGTACCTGTGGGAAACCCACAAGTACAGCTCTCACTTTCATTCCCCAGTAAGTGGTAAACAAAGGCATACTGCCTCGGATAGGAGAGTCAAACATATAGGCAAACATGAGTAGTACTTCAGCTCACATGATTCATCTTCTGACCCAGCCGGCATAGCCAATGGTCAGGAATGCAGGCAGCTTTCATCCAAAACATCTGGAGGCAACCAGGATGGAGGAGGCTGCCAAGAAAGTGATTATGGACCCTGGTCCTCAGGAGGGTCCTTTGCAATACTGGGCTGATTTCAATCCAAAATCTGACTTCAATCTTTCATATTGGGTGACAGAGCAGGCAGTAATCCAACTGTCAGAGAAGGATCTGTGTCCTTAAGCAGAGTCTACCAAAGATCAAAAGACCCTCCACCCATACCAGGTAGCAACAGTTCTCTCACTACAAAAGTGCTTACCTTATCGCTGTCTCCACGCCCTTCAGAGCTGGTGCTACCCAGATCTGTGCCAGATGAAGAAGCAAAGATGCCAGCTGAAGGAGGACCTGCCGAGGCCTGGTTTAACGTTCCAGGCAGCACCCCAGTTGGGGTGGGAGGAGTGGAGCTGCATCCACTGAGAGGCAGGGAGCTCTGAAGCAAATAGGAAACAGGTGGCACAGCCAGGTGTGAAGCAGGTGGGTGGGAAGGTGGCACTGATGGCTGAGGAGGGCCCAAGGACGATGAGGGCTTGGTGTGAGTCAAGATCTAGAAAAATGGGGGAAGACAGTTAAGAGGCAACCAAAATCTGCCACTGACCATGCCCAAAAGTGTTACATGCTGGAATGCCCAGCTCAAAATGAAAGCAAGCGGATGTGTGAATGCATCTAGCTGACTTTGACATATATAGGACAATGTGATGTGTGACTCTCCTTTGCCCAGGGGTAAAAGGAATTCCACCAGGTACAAGTGCATGTCCCAGAGTCTGTCAGCAGGGCCAATGCTCCTTTTGAGAGTTTACAGGAACTGCACTGATACATGTTGAGGAAATAAAACATGTCACACATGTTTTACTACTGTTTAGTTAATCAATCTGACCCCCTTTACATAGGGATCTTCATTACTAGCATGTCTACAATGGTCATGTCCCTACTGCACTCAGAATCATAGGTTGTGGTATATAAATTTAATCAATACATACATAAATAATAAATTCTGATTACAGAGGAGGTGGAAAGAGGAGAAACAAGTCTATTTCAGAGCCCCTTGTGAAACCAACTGCATCTGGCCCTCCTCCACCTTCATCTAACATCAGCCAGTCTAGGAGACTACAGAATTGCCCACATTCTAACTGGTCATGCTAACAACTGCAAATTTTATGAACAGGTCTCCCCCCCACACATCCTTTTTTCCTGTCTGTTTCATGTCTTTTAGACTGTACCCCTGAGAACACAGGCTGTCAAACAGGCTGCTCTGGCTTGGTAAGGTGCTCTTTTGACTAAAGAGTGTAAGAATGGTGTTAATAAATAATTCCCAAAAGCTCAGTTCCCCCCTGTCCAATCAACTTAGATTGGAACAAACCACAGTGAGTGGGAAGTCGTTTATGGATCCTATAAAGAAAAAGGAGTAGTTAACAACATTGGCCACAAGTCAAACTTTAAAAACGTGTATCAAAAATTGCTTCCAACATGGCTTTATCCTTGGAAAGAAAAGCAACCAATTGATCAAGAGGAAGTGAAAATGGCAGTTCTGGTGAGCTTATTAGTTGGGTAGCTCCAAATTGTCTTGCAATTGTGCAGAGAAACATCTCCTTGCTCCTAGAACCAGGAAAACTCACATCTGAATTTAAAGCCCAATTGTACATGTTCTTTTTCAAAAGCCAGTCTCCCTGTGCTCAGCGGTAGAGTTCATTTGTTCATCTAGCTTATTAAAATAGCTTATTTGTACCTATTAAAATAATTTCTTTGTACATATTCACTTATCTGGCTTATGCTATACGAGACTTCCTTAACCCGATGCCCTTCAGGTCTATTGCACTACATGCTGGGAGTTGTAGTCCAACTCATCTGGAGAGCAAGGAGTTGAAAGAGTTGCTTTCAAAAGGATTCATTTTCCCCAGAATTCTTCTCTCAAGCAGCAATGTGGTGGAAGGTGGCAGTAATACATGAAGTTCACAGTTACTGCCTTCGGAGAGAAAACAATACTCCTTCCTTTGCAGTGAATCAGATCACACCCCAAATTTTGCAAGGCTTTGCCAGAAAGCACCCTTGTATTCCTATGCATATTCTTGCAACCCTGAGAACCAAAATGTAATGTTTCTTTAAAGATTAAGCATTAATTATTCTCCGGATGCCAGCACGTTTTGCTTTCACAGCAAACATACAAGAGTTTGCAAAGTTGGCTGAAGCGCTCCCTGTCAAAAACTAGCTTTTGTCCAGGTTCCATAACATTTTGCACTTCCTCAGGAGTTTCATGTCCATTTTGTGCTAGTATCATCCACACAAGCGATCTCTAAAGAGATCCTCAGCTTTCTTTCTGCTCCTATTCCACATATTAGAACTAAGTATTTCACACATTCTAGAAACTCTCAGAGATCTGAAGCAGAATTTGAGATGTTGGTGCTAGCTTTGGCTGAAAGTAGAGTACCAACATTATTGCACTTGGAGGGAAGGAAGGAAAAGAAATAGACAAAGCAAAAACACTGAACATTCACCCCAACTTTCAAACTCTGTACTCTGCTTTTCCATGTCAAACTTATTTTGTACCTGATTGGTTGCTTGAATGAGCTCCTGGGCTTTTGCCCGGCTTGCAAGGTTGGCCTCTTCCATCTTGAAGAGCAGGGCAGTCACTAAATAAGAAACAAATATTGTTTCCAAACTTCAGGAGAGTGAGGCAGACAGACGGCTGAGCCTCTCTCCACCTATTTCACAAGTCAACTTATACCACCAATGTACTATCCTCCTTCTCTTGACTGGCCCCTTTCAGAGCTACCTCATGGGAAGCAGCCTCCAGGTGGGCCTGAGCTTCTAAATAAAAAAGCTGGGCCAGTTTAATTCCTTGCCCAGTTTTTCCTTCTTACCAGATTAAGCTTCATCTCTTGGGCTCATCTGGAGCAAGGCAAACACACAAGCCCTCACCTCTCCCCTTCTCCCAGCAATGCCCCCCCTCAAATTGGTGGGTAGACAACCACTCATCCAGCCCCATTAGTTAAAGATCTACTGCTTATTGACCAGTTGAAAACCGAGCAGAAACGGACCATGTAGAGATCACAGGTTCCCTTGTTTGAATGTGCTCTTGCATTTCATTTGTGCCAAGAGATGGGGGAGGGATGGAACGACATCTCTGTCCTAGCCAATATGGACTGTCTGAAGGAATGCTCTAGAACCCCTAAAAGTTTTAGGTTTGCTAGGTGGCCATCATTTCCCTAGCTTCTGCAATCTACCTATTGCCTATCTGCCCAAATCTTTTCATTGTCAAAAAAGTGCCCATTTAAAATCAAAGATCCTGGAAGGAGAAATATGAAAGGGCAGCAGGGAAAGGGAATCCATGAAAAGCTGGTATTTTGAGGCTTCCAGGCTCTGTTTGTTTCAACTCAGAAGAACCTGTTCAAAGGAATTCCAATTTCCTTGCATGGTCATCTGCAGCTCTTTTGTTCTATTTTTTTCCTCATGCTGCTAAGATTCAGGCTTTCACAGATTTGGGAACTTTTGACTGCAGAATCCATGCCTGGGGCTGAGAAGAACCATTTAACACCCTCTTCCTCCAGTACGACCCTTTGCTGAATGCCTAGTACAGATTCACAAGTTTCATTTGCAGCTGCCAAAGAAAAACATGTTTTCTCAAATGAAATTTGGGATTCTCCAGAATGGCAGTATCTTTAGCAAGAGGGAGGGTTCTGTGTGTAGTCAGTGAATGTTTAGGTGACTTGAATTTAAACTAGATTAACCCACCAAGGGTACAGAAAGTCCTGCTTCTGATAGGGCTGGCCTAATACAAAGCAACACATGTTGCCTTTTCCACCTATGTCCAAGTCATGGTATTTTAGTCCCTACGGAAAACAAAACTGCTCCCTGATAGTGAAATCACAACAATAAGCTAAATCACAGCCATTTGCTGACCTCTGATAATATCCAACTCAGCTAAGCTGAAGCTGCTGCCCTGCTAAGCCTAATGGGAGGACCAGCCCTGACTTTTGAGAAGGGATCTGAACAACTCCATATCATAAATCTCCATAAAAATAAGAAACAACAACAACACAGAAACTTAAGGGCACCTTATCTAGGATGAGGTTTGTATGGCTATATTGTAGGTTTGTGCCTGAACCTACACGTCAATAAACACGCAAGTCTTCAAAGGAACCCTCCCCTCCTCCCATACCAGTCCCCTTAATAATACCTACATGCCAATACACCGCTGGTGCAGTCCACCCCACCCTGCAGATTCCACGACATGGGGGCGGGCGGTTGGGGTGCACTGCGGGGTGGGTGGGGTGGCTGCTGCAGTGGCTGCTCCTCTTTGGTCTCAGACAAGCTGTCCACTTCTGGCTCATCTGCTGGTACCCTGGGTGGCTCAGCTGGTGGGTCTTCAGGAAGGAAGGAGACATCAGGCGTCTTGCAACTACTGTCCACTGTCTGGGAATCAGGTGTGAGTTCTTGGCCAGGGGCCAAGGGCTGAGGGCTTGGCGGTTTGGCTGTTCCCTCCGATTTCTCTGAACCAGACCACGAGGGTTCCTCCTTGACCCTCAATGGACTGCTTGCACCTTGACTGCAGCTGTCAGCTTTGGATTTCTTTAGCCCAGTCTTTGCCTTGAGTTTCTTCTTCTTCTTGGGCTCTGAGGCACCCTTGGGCTTGAGGCCCTTCAATTTCTTCACCCCCATCTTGGTCTTCAGCCCTTTGACTTTCTTGGGCTTGAAGCCTGGCTCCTTAACATCAGCCATCTCACCTTGACTGGCTGCAGAAGCTCCAACCATCAACACCTTCTCTTCTGATTTAAGGAAAGGTGAGCGGCTCTCCTTGTCACGGCTAAACTTGACACCGATGGAGCCCACCTCCTTAACTGAAGTGGTGCTGCTCACACCCTCACGGATCAGTACAGCCACCTTGGACTGAAGCTTCACCTTCCGGCTGGAGCCTAACTTCCCACTCTCCTTGTGGCTTCCAGCTTTCATTTTTTTCCCTGTTTTGTCCCTATCAGGTCGGGCTTTTTTTTCTGCCTTGGGCAATTCCTGTTGTTCAGAACAGGGAGGTCCTTCCTTCAGCTTCTTTTTGTACTTATCTCGGGCACCAGGACGGTCCTCAAGATAGGCCCTCTTGCGCTCTTTCTCTTTGGGCACCTTCTGTTTGGTGTCCTCCTCTGGTCGTTTGTCCTTGCGGGACGGGACTGGGTCCTCCTTGGCTGTTAGTCGCACCCCACCTAATTTGGATTCCTCGGCAGGCTCACGATCTGAGAAGCAAGTGTCAAAGCTCATCCCTTCTGAGTCGTAAAGCACCTCCCGCTTAGCTCGCTCAGGTGTCTCCAACAGGCCCTCCATTTTTTCTTGCTGGTTGACTGTGATGGTCCTCTTGATAGTGAAGAGGTCATTGTCATTGAGGTCCTGAATAGAGGGAGGCACCACAGTTCGTGCATCTCTCCGGCGCTCCATCAAGCCCTTCTCAGACTTGGGTTCCTCCAGCAGGTGGACCTCCCGTTCCTTGTCTTTGGATAAACGATGGGAGGGATGCTTCTCACGTGAACGAGATCTGGAGCGTTTCTTCTTCTTCCTACCACCATCCCCCCGATGTTTGTCTTTGTGCCGACTGCGATGGGCCCGACTGCTGCTGCGTGACCGGGAACGACGGCCGCGGCGCTTCTCCTTGGACTTGGATCTCCTACTCTTGCGTCGCTCGGCAGATGTGTGTGAGGAGCCGACAGCGGACAAGCTGGTGCTGATTGAGGGTGACCATGAACGGGAGGTTCGGTGATGCGAACGGGACCTTGAGGCCCGGTGATGCGAGTGCCGACGCTCTTTAGATTTTGAGCGTGACTTTGATTTCTTCTTAGGGTTCCACGAGGTGGTGTACGATTCCTTGGTTTTTGAGGCCTTACGTTCTCGTGATCTTTTGCGTTCTCGCTTGGATTTCTTACATGAGCCAGAGCTAGATCCAGAATGGGATTTGGAAGCAGGGCGCTTGGGGGCTGGTGGAGGTGGTGGAGGAGGCAGGGGTGATGGAGCTCGGTGGAAACGCTCTCGTCGCTGGGTCAAGATCTTCCGCCTCAAGTCCACCCCCTTCCAACGTGGGTCAGGTTGGCTCTCACTAAAGTCAATCTGTAAGGCTCCTTCATCATCTGAGTCTGCATGCAGTGAGAGGAAGTCGTCACCTTCCACCACTCGCAGAGTGCGCTGTTCAGCAGGCCGGCACCTGCTACGGAACAATCGAATGGGACTGTAGCGTTCATCTTCTGGCTGGACAATCTCACCTTCCTCGATTTCAGAGTCCCCGCCACCACTCCCATCCCATTCCATTGATGACCGGCGTCCAGCCCGATGGTGCCCACCTCCTTTGGATCCCTTCTCTCCACTCCTTAGCTTGGCATTTCCAACAGTCACAACTTCCAGGGAGACCTTCCCCTCCAGCTGGGGCTTAGCTTCAGAATCCAAGCGGCCTTTGGGGGCCAGGTCGACCACAAATACCCGGCGACGTGGTTCAGGAGCCTTGGATTCTTCCTGTTCTGGTGGGAGCTCCTCAGGCAGGGTAGAGTCAGCACCTGGAGGCTCTTTGCTCTCTGGGGGCTCAGGAGGACAGGCAGCCTCAGTTTCATAACCTCTGCCAGATTCTGCTTCTGGTTCTGAATCTTCTTGTCCTTTGTCTGAGCTGGGAAAATCCTGGCTCAAGCTATTTTCATCGTAGATTCCAGCCAATGTTTCCGAGATGCGGCTGATGCTGTGGGACATGTCTGGAGGATGCTGGTTGTGGTCATCATCTTCCTCCTCCTCCTCCTCCTCCTCTTCCTCATCGTCCTCCTCAGGTGAAGGAGTACTAACTGAGGAACTGGGGTTGGAACCAGTAGGGTCAAAGGGGTCATATTTCTGGTCATGCCGTCCACCTTCAGCCTCCTTGTGAGGAGAGTCACCAAACCCAAAATCACCATTAAGGTTATCCTCATCTGTAGGGTGGAAGGGATCATAAATATCTAAGTCTGGGGAGCGCATTGGGGCACAGGGGTTGGATGAGCTGCCACCGCCACCTTCTCCAGGCAGGCCCTGATGGCGGGACACGGAGGAGGTCGAGGAAGAGCAAGAGGATGAGGAGGAGGTGCTGGAATCAGCCTTATCCAAGGAATTTGCAGGGGGTGGTTGAGATCGCTGCTGGGATTCAGAATCCCGGCCAGCAACATTCTGTGGGCGCTGCTGCCCCCCACTGGATACCCCCATGCCTGTGCCCAGAGTCATGCCCAAGCAAGGGGAAGGAGAAGTCCTGTCTGCTTTAGTGGGCTGCGAAACCCCATGCCTGCCTAAAACAGAAGTCCAAGGAGCTTTGTCCATTACAGGCAGAGTTCTGTGTGGTTCCAGGGGGTGGGGCTGCTCTGAAAGGGAAGGGTGGCCAATGGAGCAGGGTCTGCTTCTGCTCCAGCGGGGTGCAGATGATCCAAGGCAAGCTGTGGGGAGCAAAAGGAACCGTCAGAAGTGCACCAAGAACCTTTGTTATCTCTCCCTTGAAGCTCTAAGAGGCAAGAAAGCCTCATATCTCATTCCTCCCATGCCATTCCCTCTTTAAGTCAGCCAGACTCAGCTCAAAACTGATGGATGATAGGCCTCCCTGCCCGACAGCATCCTCTCTCAACCTACTATCCACCACTGCTCAGATGAGCTGGGGCTAATGGGCCAAAACATCTGGAGGGCACCAGATCAGGAGACTCTGTCCTAGAAGAGTCAACATCTGCATCTCTTCCCTAACTGGTTGGTTTCTCTTGCACAGGCAGACACATACGCACCAGACTTTTGCATCCTCCAGGACAGGTTTCTTCTAAAGATGCCTGATAGGGCACTGACATCCTCCAGCCGCACCTCAGCCACCAGCTCCACTTCTTCCATGGTTTCATCTCCACTGTTGAGAAAGACACAAACAGAATTATGGCACATATCCTATTAGCACCTTGGACACTCCAAATTTCAGGCCAACAGCCTAGCCCCTAAAGCTGTAATAGATAGATAATGCACAGAACGGAGGATGGAAAAATATACATAGCAGTCAGAGAACCCATAATTCTAGAGCAGAGTTGAGACTGCAAATGACACAGGAACGTACAAGCTACATGGCACCAGGTAACCAGAGGGCCAAAGTCAAGTTGCAGCTACAGGATTCTACAGCTACACCTGTCTGTCTTTCTCCAGTGCAGACCAGGCAGCCATCATTTACACCTTTCACCTTAGAGATGCTAGATATACCATAAAGCTGCCTCTGAAGCTTCATACAGACTGATTTCAGGGGACTGTCACTCCAGGGTTCTGGAATTTGCACTGCCTGCTACAGATTTGCAGGTATAGTTCAAGATGTTTCAGTCCTCCTATACCTTTTAGAAAAAGCCACCTTCCCTGGTCCACCGTGATCACTAAGCTTACTCCAACAGGGTCCAGTCATCAGGAATTGGGGATTCTCCAGCCAACACTTCAGTTGGGACCCAACTTTATTTATTTTTTTTAATTTATTTTTGGATTTATATCCTGCCTTTTTCCTACAAAGGGCTCAAGGCAGCTTACATCAATCTCCTCCTCCATCTTATCCCCACAATAACCCTGTGAGGTAGGTTGGGCTGAGAGTCTGTGACTGGCCCAAAGTCACCCAGTTGGCTCCATGGCTGAGCCAGGACTAGAACCCAGATCGCCTGAGTCCAAGTCCCATGCTCTTAACCACTACACCACACTGGCTCTCACTACCACACACAGGCTTTCTCAGCTAGAGACAAAGGATAGGCAAACCTGTCCCGACAGAGGCCCTGGCTGGAGAAGCAATCAGATGATCAGAGAAAAGAGCAGGGATCTTTTTCCTGCTAACCTTCAAGAGAAAGGGCTTTGAGGAGGGCCTCACTTGGGACCCTGGGGTCTGGATAGGCCAGGCCCACAGACTAGAGGTTCCCCACCACTACCCTAAGGGCATCTGGCATGCTGAGAGAGGTGCACCCAGCAGCTTCCTACACCTTTGTTGAATTCCCTTTCTTCAGAATGGTAGTGCCTGGAGCCACAACACTGTGGCTCAACCTAACCATGAGTTGCCAGTGAAGTGGCATATGCACTGAGATGACTACAAGACAGTCTTTCTCCAGAAAAGCCCCTTAGTTTCTGCAGTCTCTCCTTTTGCAACTGTACTCAAATTATTCTCAGGTTACTACAAAAAGTGCTTTGATTAGTACTCTTCATTGTTTGAGGCACTTCTGAATTTAATTTGTGCACAGGCATATATTTCCAAAAGCATCATCATTACTGAATCATCTCAACTTGATGGCTTTAAAAGGGGATGAGGTAAAAGTTTTCAGTGGCTACTAGTCAAGCTGGTTGTGTTACCTCTAATAACAGAGGTAGCTTGTATCTCAACACCAGTTGCTGGGGGGCATGAGTAGAAGGGTTTGTTGTACTCATGCCCTGCTTGGAGGCTTCTCATAGGCGTTTGCTCAGCCACTATGGAAATGGGGCTACACAGGCCTTTGTCTGATCCAGCATGGCTTTTTAAAAAGATTCAGCTGTAGTATTTTACAGGACTTTTTCTTAATGACAGAATATCAAAGTTTTTAATGCAGAACTCAAAAAGGCATCCAAAACAGTGAACACTTGACACTTTATAATGGTTGCTCTGTAAGAATCCCACTTACTAAACTGCTTGGGTCCCTATAGAGCTCTCCAATTCCTGGGGCAAATGGCAAGTCCATTCCAAGTAATCCAAGACTCCAGCTAAGGCAGGCATCGCACCAGAAGGAGTCTCAAGAACCTGGAGAAAAATGGAAGTTGACATCACCAAACACAGGCCAAAACCTACACTGGAGGAGATGGATAGAGATAAGGGGAGCCAGCATCATGATGGGCCGATATTGACAGTAGAATATCTGCGACCGCAACATGCACCACCACTGAATAAATGCTCTCATGCTGGAAACCAGAATGTATTTACCCTGGAAGACCAAGTTCATGCATAGTTGACCCAGGTGTGTTAGTGAAGCTCCAGCAGGATCCCAATTGTAGAAGACTGTGACTGAACATGTGAGCTCACTAATACTTACACAACAAAAAGGGCACATGCCCTGTGCAACGATATGAGACTGCAACATACCTCACCCATCAGGCCATTCCTATCGCAGGCCAATGCAGGATCACTAGTTCCCAGCCAATCTCCTCCAAGCCCTTCAGATCTGGAGCTCCTGCACCACTTCCTTCGGCTTGTGCGCTTACATTCAGCATCTGAAGGAGGAAGCAATGGCAGCAAGAGGGGCTCAGATCTCTGGGGTATGTGTATTTATTATTTATTTATTTAAAACATTTCTATGCTGCCCCCATTGCAACAAAGCCTCGGGGTGGCTCACAACATCCATAAAAATACAATCAATAATTTAAAAACTGGTACCATCTCGGCTATATATTAAAATCTATAAATACAATAATAATAAATTAACAGTTAAAATAACTTTTAAATAAAAAGGTATATAACTGCAAAGGGAGCAAGGGCAGGTGCATTATGTTCCATATCCCCATTGAAATGGGTGATGAGATCCCCTGCTTCACAGGATGTACTGCTCCAAATAAAGCCTGCACATAAAGAGCATGGATATTTTGAAATCTGTTGTATAGTCCATGGATGTGCATTGGTAGATCATTGGGTGATCTGCGTAGAAGAGCATGGATTTCTGACTCCCGACTAAACTGCGCAGCTGAAATGAAGAAAGTTTGGGGTAAAAACTAGGAGTGGATTTTTTAACCATTGCTGGATTGTACTATTTTGTTCCTTGAAACTTAGGTAACACTATGCCAGCATAATTATGGGATTTCTTCTAAACCTTCACTAGGCTGCAGGTAGAGAAATATTTAGACACATTTTTGAAGTATTAACATTTTACAAAATACAAAAAAACTTTTCAATTTATACATGAGGGGAAAAAAAGAATTCCAATGAATATGCATTTCAAATTATTGCAGGTAATATTTTGTGAGACATTTTTCTGCAGGTAAAACATTAAATTTACTTGACATCTTCCTATTGGTTTATCTAAAATCATGACAGACAAAATCTTTGCTTTCGTCATTAGTTGCCTCTTGACAGATTATTAGGGTGTTGTGTGCTGAGGGCAAGACAGCATAAAGCCCATGGCATTTTAGTTTTCTTCTGAAGCTTAAAACTGTTTTTCTTGAGAAAATGTAGCAGCAAAATACACCCTAGCTGATCTAAAGAACACTTCTGCCATGCACTCCAATAAGCTTAGGGAACATCAACCAATCATTTTGTCATTTCCGTTTTTAAGGTTACATCACTGCCCTGCTGTCTTAATTACATTTTGAAATAATCTTTTCTTGGTTAAGCCAGCTTGCTGACTGCAGCCTGGTTGAGAATGTAGCTGTTTATTCTATTTATCGAATGCAGTATACCATGCTCTACCTCTCTTTTGATGATCTAGCTTAAGGGGCTGATTGATTTGCTCAATTCAACTATGAATAGTATTATCCAGTATACATACAAGCAAGTTTTCCAGATCAGCTACAAATGCTTAACTCCTTAGAAATAAAAGGAATATGTTTTCTTCCGCAAGGCTTAATGTGGAAGCATTTATGTTCTGATAATTTGAAAAAGTTCATTGATGTGTACCCTCATGAAGGGATCACCCATGATGTCACTGTAATTTGCCAAATTCAGTGGTGTTATTATTCTGATAGGCACTGACTATATTTGTCATTGCTAGCATCTCCAAACTATTTTTATATGGTCTTGTCTCCTGAGAGTCAAATGGATTATGACAGACTTCATCAGCATGCTTGCTAGGACCAAGTATTTTAAGCAAGTAATTTTCTTTGGACTGCCCCATTCTTGAATGCTTTGGAGTAATCAATGTGTGCCTTTTCAGATTCACCTTCTCTTACGTCTCTTAGGATGCAATCCTATCCAGGCTTCAGCAGAAAAAAAAGCCTGACTCCCAGCTCTTTTCTGTCTAAGCCTGTACAGGATTGAGTCTTTACTAGATTTGCTGCAGAAGAACTGTGAGCTCAGTTCTGATAACTTAAAAACAGATTCCTAGGCTCAGAATTCTTTAATCCTAAGTGTAAATCTTTGTGCCAAGCTACAAAGCAGAACCAGGAAAAAGCAGAATGGATCCTGTAATCCTGCAGTCTACCAACCTCTGCTGTAGTCCATAGATTGGCTGACTGCAGTCTTGCATGGTGTTTTTCTCTGGCTTAGTAAATTTTATGTAATCAGAACAGGAATGTATGTACTACTTTTTGCACTGTCTGAGAGGTGTTGGGAGTGGGAATCCCCACTTGCATTTCCCTTCTTGAAATCATAGCCATGTCTATGGCCTTGAGAGGGGAAACCTGCTATGCTTTGTGGTTCCTGGGATGGTGTCCTAGGGCCTGTAGATTATTCTTTTACGCAATTATGATGGTCCCTTTTAATGTATTTTACGGTTCTGGTGCCCCTTGTTCTGGAATTTTGGTGAGTGGTTTTTTAAGTTTCATTTTTGTACTATAGTTTCATAGTAACTATCAGGTTATGGGGCGGCACAGAAGTGGAATTAAATAAATAAATAAAATTAATTTTAATTTTAATATTTTGCTGTTTGTAAGATGTCCTAATCTCTAAACTAACCTCGTGTCCACCAGATATTTGAGAGTTCAACTTCCACCAGTCCTAGCCAGCACGGCCAAGAATTCTGAGATTTGCCATCAAAAACAACCAGAGCGCACCAACGTTGTGCTAAGCCAATCCAGACATTGTGGAGCACCATCTCTCAATTCTGAGTTCCTCAGGTAGTTGATAAGGAGAAACCTTCCCTGGCCTGGTGACCCCAACATGTTCAACTACCACTATTACCATTCCTAGCCAGAACTGCTGAGAATGATGAGAGTTGTAGTCTAACCTACTGGAAGGCACCATGTTGAGGAACACTGATGAAGAAAAACATGCACAGTCAGCACCCATAATTTAGTTTACAGGGTTCCATCCAAGCAACACCTGCATCTTCCAAGTCCACATCTCTCAACCGTGCCTTGGCACCTGCCATGCTTACATAGTCCTGTGACATTTCAGGAAAGGTGCCTGCTGCCTGAAGGTACAACCCACCTACCCACCCTTGCCCCATCTGCTCCGCCATTTCTGTCTCCTGCTTTGAAGATACCTTTCTTGCTTGCTGGATCTTGGAGTTCACCTGCCAAGCCACTGCCCACGGCTTGCTGCAAAGCTTTCTGCAAAGGAAAAAAAAAAGGTGGGTGGTCACAGTTAGCTATGAAACATCAACAACAGCAGTTGACAAAAACTTACACTAAAAGCTATCAGCAGATTTTCAAGGTAAGTCACTGAGTGATACTGTAGAGGGGAGGATCAATGCATCAAGAATTGAAATGAAAGCAAGAGCTTTCATGAAAGCATACACAAGCATTTCACAAAATATTTCACAGATCATATAAACTTTCAATTCAGGCTCCTGTTTCTAACCTAAGCTCCTCTTTAAGAAATGATGGAGCAACAACAAACTACTGCATTGCAAGAGACTACCAGACTTAAAACTTGCACATTATGATAGTTAATTTACACATGTAAGGTGAAGAGGATCCTCAGAGGAGATAACACTTACTATAAACATTGGAGGTTGCCATAGAAAATTTCATGAAGTTAGACATGAAAAGTACCACTTGCCTGGTCATCTAGAGTGAGCAAAAACTGGCCTAAGACAATTGGGACTTTTCTTTTTGCTTTTTTTTTTTTACTGAAAGTTTTAATTTAAAAAAAAAAATTGCACATGCTTGTTCAGCACTCAAGTGAGCTTCCATACCTGTGAGTGAACCAACACTTTTGCCTGTTTTATGGCCATCAGCTGACTGGGTATAGTGTGTGTTTCACACCTACCAGACCACATAAGTGTCCGAGTCAGCCTGATTAATTCTGACGCTTTAGTGCTGTAAGGATAATTTTTCCTTCTTATCTTCCTTGTTCATTATCTCTTAGGAAACAAGATTGAGTAATGCTTTTTGGATGCAGTTTATTTCCAAGTTCCCTGTTCCTAGGACATTTTATTTGGAAGAAAATCTCACATTTCAATATGAGACTTATTTCCAAACAAGCATGCACAAGATCACAACCTAATTCCATGAATTTAGATATCTTTCGAAGCCATTCTAAAGCTGCAATCCCCACATATCAGGACATGGCTTGTTTATTTTTTTATTAAGAAACTGAAACTCACTGTTTACATTTCTGTTCCCATGAGCTTTCATTCTTAAAAATTGCAACAGAAAGTGTACAACAAAAACAAACTATACTTTCAGTACATTTTTTACAAAGGAAAACAAGATTTTAAGGACCCGGTATCATAGTATACACTGAAAGATTCTGTCCCGTCATTTTCCCATGAAGACTAGCCCTCTGTAAGAAATTGAATAATTAGTGTATGATATGTCTCTGTGGCACTCTTCCTATTCAATTTCAGTAAGCGTGCAATCCTAGGCATGTCTACTAGAAAGCAAGAATTACGGAATTCAATAAAACTGACTTCCAGTAAATGTCTATAGGACTGCAGTCTAAAAATGTAAAATGCCTAACTGAATGTCGCATGTCCAACAGCTATACAGGAGTGTCCACAGAGACACACAGTTACTACTTAAGTGTCTTGCTGTGCATACTTACCTGGAATAGTTGTACTTATTTCCAACCAAGCAAGCATAAGAATAGGCTGCATGTATCACATGTGGGCAAAAAAGGTTTTTTTGGGGAGGGGGGCTTTTCACAACATTTATTTATTTATAATTTTTTAGTAAACTTGGCTTTGAGCTTTTTGGGAAAGAAAGGGAGAACTGGTTACTTAAATCACTTCAGAACAGAAATACTTAGGTTACAATCCTATATGAATTTAGCTGGCAGAAAGACCCTGCAAATGCAATAGGGTTTACTTCTGGGCAGACACTAAATGAAATTATGTTGTTGTTGTTGTTGTTGTTGTTGTTAATAATAATAATAATAATAATAATAATAATAATAATACTGTGACTATCTTTCTTTTCCTTATGATTATTTCTTCTGCATCTTCCAAACCCAGAACAGCTGTTTTTATACCACACTTTTAAGGATATGGCATTAAAATAGGGGAGGAGGATATAACTCCACCACAACTACTGTCATCTGTGACAATTGGCTGTGTTGACTGCGGCTGATGGGAGCTGAAATAAAACATCTTGGAGCCATAGGTGAAAAGTGGTGTGATTTGTTGTAGTTTTAAAGTGATTAAGATCAAGTGTGGGCTACACTTTTTTGTGAGGCTGGTTTTTAAAAGACTTTTTGGAAGTTCACCAGGCTTGCATGACTAAACAGTTCTGGAGAACAACTGACAAGCACTGAAAAATGCAAAAGGTAAATCAACAAATTAGGCTTTCTGAGCACATATGGAGGTAACCTGAAAGGAAAACAATTCTCCACATTAATAAATTCCTATATTTTAATATAAAAGTGTAGCAATGTAAAAATATTTTGTAAGCTACATAAAAAGGGGGAAAGTATAAGAATTTATAATAAAAGGATGCAAAGTATTGTTGGAAACACTGACTGATGAGCAAACAAGGCTTCACAGGAGAATAGAAACCAATGATACAAGTACACAAGAGTATGATATTAGCCTCATTCAGCTACATCAATAACAATGGTTTACCATTACAGGAATGAATTTCAATAAACTTGGGCTCTTTGTGATCTCTTCCAACCTCAATCAGCTGTGAGAAGCTTGGAAGCTTATGCTTCGATTTTTGATTAGGTGCAGTTAAGTGCTATGTTGAAAGTTGGACAAACTTCGGTGAGTCTTAACTATGGTTATAGAAAGCATACCAACTTCAAACCAGAGTCTATAATGCTGATTTGTTTCATCTAACTATAGTTAAAATGAACCAGAGTTTAAGGGAGATTCAGACACAAAACTAAACTGTGATCAATTTGAATCTGAATCAAAAGCTTTTGATCATTTCACACCTGTACCAGTTCATGCTTACGGTAATAAACCATGATTTATCATTACATGACATCACTGCCAAAACCAGCACATTATGAAAATCATGGGGTCCACAACCAGGGCTTTGTTAGCCTGTTCTGTAATGTGGTCCAGATCAAAACAGCCTTGATCTCCATTGTCAGAAAAAAACAAGTGCAGGCCAAAGTTCAATTATTACTGTTCAACTAACTAAACCATTGGTGATCTGCAAATTACCTTGAAAATCCCTGCTTTAGTTTTAGCTGTTTATAACTTGTTTGGCTTAATTCAGACTTAAGACATACAGAGTATGCCAATTGCAACCAAAGGGATTTAAGTCAATCTGAACAAGTCCAGTTAATTTCAGTGGCCCTACACTAAGTCTGCCCAAGTCTAGTCCTAACTCATAGTGTATAATTCAAGAGTCAGTAAGGAGCAATGTTCAGATTGGTGGACTGGGACTCAGGAGATCCAGTTCTAATCTATGCTTGGCCATGAAGTTCACTGGCTGACTTTGGGTAACTCTCAGCCTAACCTACCTCACAGAGTTGTTGTGAGGATAACATGGAGGATTATGGAAGTTGCCTTGGATTCCTTGCAGGGAAAAAGTGGACTATAAATATAATAGATAATCATTAAAATAATAAAGCAGAAATAAAACAAGATAAAACTGCTAAAGAAATATTTCATCAGTTTAACAGACTTATCTTATTCTGCTGAATAACAACAAAATAAGAGTCAAAAAACAAAAAGGATTTCTACAATGTGAGATGCTGACTAAGATTGTACAAATTACTGTAAAATAATTTGATGTGTGCCTTCCAGTTTTAGGAAAACTTAAAATGCAGCAATGGAGATCCTTACTGCTGTGACTGTGCACAGAAGAAGCACAGAATAGGGAGTTCATTTGATCTGTGTGGCAGCTTATAAATGTAAAAATAAATAAAATATGGCACTCTGTGCAAAAATCCAGTACTTTCTGAATAATCCTGCAAAATTCAGCTCTTGCTGTGGAAGAAAGATGTTTTGCTGACGGAGCTACAGAAACAGGTGACACATGGACTGTTTCAGACAACTATAAAAGGATTGTTTCCTGCCATTAGAGATCCAACATTTTCTTGCAAATCCCAACCTTTCTGAACCCTCATAAACCAAGAAGGCAAGTAAAGACTGTTAAAAATTCAGGTTCTTTACACCCACACAAGGTTAAGATTGACAGGACAAGAGGACTATGAGAACTGGGGAAGGCATACTGGTCCATAAGATGGGGGAGACAAAAGGCAGAATGGGAGCGACTGATAAATCTCCAGATCAGCAAGGGACTAGGTTGTCTAACACAACCTTCCCCAACCCAGTGCTCTCCAGCTGTGTCGAACTATAACCCCCCGCATCCTCCAACCAGGTAGCAACTAAAAATCCTTTTTACTCTTCAATTAATTTACAGAAGAATGCCAGTGGAAATTCCACAAGTGAATTTTTAGGTGAAACAACACACGCGCGGTCCAGATACCAATCGGAAATGGCTGTACTAAGCATGTGGTCAGAGGCACCACATTTCTTTAGTCTGCCCACATGAGCCACTGTTTTGCATTTGCTTTGGGTTGGTGGATTTTATGATTTCTGGTAAGCAAAAGAAAAGGGCAGTGAGAGAGACGGAGAGAGTAGATGTCACAAGCCTAAAGTCTACCCATCCCTACACTAAGTTTATGGTCAAAGCTACAAGCTGAACTGTTTTCCTTCTTACTATTGATAACTGATCCAGTGACAAGAGAGCCACACAAATGAATACCAACATTTCAACCTCTTCCAGCTTTTTTCATAAGCATTTCTTTTGGTTTTGCAAGAATATGCAGAAACATGAGGCAGAACGTCCTCCTTCCTGCTCCCAGGTTTAGAACAAACTGTGTATCCTTTCTTTCCCATACCCCTACAGCAAATGATCTGATCTGGAAGGGATATTCAGGAGTAAAGCTGTTATTCTGGTACAGTTCATGATTTATGCAGGCAAACACATACACATCCATCTAAAGAAGATTCCAGGATAAAAGCCAGAAAGTCATTATGAAGACAACTACAGCCTTCATGACAATGACCTACTGTCTTGTGTCCATGGCCTGGTTCAGGGCATTTGCTTCTGTAAGGGAATGTTTGTTACATTTGTTTGTATAATAAAATATTACCAGGGCAGCTCATGCAACAGCACAGGCTTAAAATGAGTACAATAATAAAAATCCAGAACATTCATTATATAAAATGCTTAGAAGAGAAGTGACTTTGCCTCACAATGAAAGGCAATGAAGGGAGCAGGCCTTAGATATGGCATTTCTTTAACAGGGTGCCACAAAAGAGAAGGACCTTTCTTTTGGCAAGGGCACCTGACGAAGGGCCTACAAAGGTGACCTAATTGTTCAGCAGATACATACCAATAAAGGGTAGGACTGGCAAATACACAAGGCTACCATCTGTGAGAAACCAGGGAGGGAAGGGAAGGGAATGCCTAAGATAACCTACTATATGTGCAAATGAAAAAGCTTGATTTTGGACACACATTTGCATCTCCAAAGCAATATAAATTAACCCTCTGGGCAAAAGCAGAGTAGTTCTAACCCTTGTGCTCAACACCAAGGAAGTAATGGGTTTCCTAGCATACACTGCTCAATCCAATTGGGATTGGTAACAATTACACCCATCACTCCTGCCACCATCCCCTTAAGAAAAAGAGTGGTCATTACCAAAATGATAACTTGGCCAGCACCAAGGACACCTGATTGGTCCCAATCCGAATCAAGAGAAGATTCACTGGTTGGCTTCTCACCACCTCGTGCAGGATCCTCCCTGACTGGGGAGCGGCGATTCTCCTCCTCTTCCATGTCTGTAGGAGCTGCAAAGCCTAGACATTGACAGGATAGAAGCAGCGACATTCCAGTTTATCCTACTTGCCCATTGCAGATCTTTTTGAAGCTAAAGGGGTGCATTCCTTTTGTACAAGACCAGGGAATCCTGACACCCAAGCCAATATGCCATGGACCAGAATTCAAAAGCCCCAAGACCCATTCCGTTTTGATTTATCAGACCCAATTTCCTTCCCAAGGAAACGATGTTTGCAACTATTTGCTCTAACCTAGGGTCTGCATCTGTTCAGAACCTACTAAGGGGGTAGAGCATGCAATGAGAAAAAAAGCAGCTTTCTTTAAAAGCTATTCCAGTGTTCCAATTATGAATCTATAAATCTTATCAAAATGCAAGTCAATAAAACTTGACAGAATCTAAGGCATTTGGCTCATCCTCATATTTAAAATCAGACAGTCAGCTACTAATTTAGGCTCTGCTGAAGGGGAAAGGCTTCTTATTTCACACCCAGATATCCATCACTAGCTTGGAAGGCAGGAATAGTGGCCTTCCAGCTGTTGGATTGCAATTCCCATACTCCCTAGCCAGCATAGCCAATGGCAAGGAAAATGACAGTTACAGTACATCAACATTTAGATGACCACATGTTCCCCATCCCTGCTGTAACAAATAAGGCCCTAAAAACAAAATTCCTGGGCACATCTACTTTTCCTTTGGTTCCTAGGAAGAGTGCCTTCTTAGGAGATGTGCTTGGTAAGAGAATACACTACCCATAAAATCAGTAATGTTATCATTTGATTACCTGGTAGGGACATTTTTAAATAACATGTTGCTTGAATGCATTCATATATAAAAGATCATTATATTTTTATATATAGAAGGTTCAGATTCTGGTGTTCACTGCCTTACACTAATTCTCACCGACCTAGTGCTTATACCCTACTTCATCAAATCCCTTCTTTTCCCAGCTTCACACACCATCCACTCATTAGCCTTCCACCTCTGCTGTATCTCCCTTTCACACAGATCTAGTCTTGTACTGTCATCTTCTAAACTCAGAACTGCAGCATCTCCCCCACTTTCACATTCATAAATAATTTCTTCCTTAACTCCATTCTCAAACTTTAATGCCCTTTCTCAACATATACTAACACAAATGACTATTAGAAGTAGTGAACACATTAAAAGACCTCTGGAAAAAATGGAAATGAACTTCAATGTCATTAGGAGTCCAAGAGTCATTGGGAAAAATTATAGGGTTCCAAGTGGATATCCAGTGGAATGAAAGGTTCCTGACAAAACTGTATCTTGGATATGGCCATATTTTCTAATCTAAGAGGAGGAAAGAACAGATGAGCCCAAAAATTAAGTATTTCTCAGTTCCCTATTTACTGAAACAATTATTTGATTGATTAGCACAGTCCATGCTAGATTCTACATATTAAGAGATGCTCTAGAGAGGATGCTTCCAATAGTCAACACCTACCTCTACTGACTGGCTCACCTGTCTGACCTCCCCTGCTTTGCAGATACCCTGCATCTAAATTTCTTCAATGTCGCATAGCCAGTATTTCCTTTAAAAACCTTCTTCATCCCTTCCTCACTTGTTCATGACCCCACAATGGTACTGACAAACCAGCTATTCTACTAGTTTCCCATACGGAACCCCAGCGTTCTGCTGTAGCCTCACTCTGGGCATATCAACAGCTTCCTAATAAAGATCCCCTTGGCCCACTGATGACACCACAGAGAATTAGGCTGAACAGTCAATTTAACATGCCCACTTTGAATTAGCAATTGTTTTTATGTTCCACCTTCTCTCCACATTTCCACACACCTTCTCTCTGTAGTGTGCTACTCTCCATCAACAAAATAACCCTTGACCATAACTGCATCTCAACCCTATAACACCATCACTTTATGCAGCTTCCTTGATTTTTAACTGTTTTAGTGACAGAGTACATATTTTGCATGAAATCCATCCCATTTACTAGGATCTCCATTTCAAATGATCAGGTAATTCAGAATTTCCACATGAGATGCTGGAAAGCCATTCAGAGCAGACAATATCGTGTTCAATGGGTGAAATATCCTAACCTGGTACAAGCCAGTTTTCAATTTCAGGCTTCCTTCTATTACCAGCGCCCTCCCTCAGGGACACAATGCACCCCTAACTCAAACTAAATGCCATCTTATTACAATCGGCTTTTTCCCCAAGCATCAATAAAGACCTTGATTATCTTGCCAAAATAGCTCAATCAAAGCCTCTCTGTATCTAATGACCACATTATGATGTCCCCCTCCTCCTTCAGAGATTTACAGGCCCCAAACTCCTCTATCCCCATTTGGTGTTTTTTTCTTCTCACAGACGCAGAAGTAAGGATGGCTTCACACATGCCTTCTTTCTCTTTCTAGAACAAACAAAGCCCAATGTGACATATATTTACCAAGGTACGAGACCCTCACTGACTTCAAAGGGGCCTACCCTACCACCCCAAGTTAAGGCTGCACAGGCTTGCATCCACGCACAACACTTTCCATTTACCACCTTTGCTCTTTCATAACGCCCAATCTGGGTATTTTATCCCCAAAACGAGACAGAGGCAGTTGAGAGACTCCAGTGAGACCTCCCCTCCCTCAAGACTATCTGAATCGCCCCCACTCCGAGCTGAAACTCGCAAATCACTGATCCTGAATTTTCTTCTCCCCATTATTTCCCTCCCCCACTTCCTAATGGGCTCACCCCACGACCTTCTCCTACGTCACCGCAATATCCCCGCGTCTTTTTTTAACCTCTCGACCCTGCACTGCGTACACCTAATCTTGCCCCCCTCCCCAATATTAACACTTTTTGGACTCCCAATCCTGACCACAATATCAACCCTTTAAACAACATCCCTCCCGAGCAGTTGCTATAATTACCCGGCTCCACCGGGAAGCTAGGCCCTTCCGCCCGCCCACTTTAGCACAAGAAGAGGAGGTGCGGCCACTGCCGCCGATACTGTCCGGGCCCGGCCTCTGCGGCAGCCATTTTACTCCGCTCGGCCCTGCTGCGGGGAGGGCGATCCGAAAAGGGCGGAGCAAAACAGGACAAAAGCAATCTGGGAGATGCAGTTCCTATTTGCGGCACTCTTTTTTGAGAAAGGCGCAAACAGTACTACAACTACCAGAGCGCCTAGAAACGGCTTACCTACTGAGCGCATGGTGCGATGGGAGATGTAGTTCCGAATGCGTCGTGTTACCGATGGGCTTGAACTAGGAGCGCCGTTCCCGTGGTGCCATGCGAGACCAAGGGGCTAAAGCCTTGAATGTAAGTTTAAGCAGGATATCTAGTTCAATGTGACAATCAACTAGAAATCTCCATGTGCGGGGCAAAAGCGGTAAGCCGGTTTCGTTGGTCATATCCTCTGCCCTCAAGTGTATACAAGAAATGAAACATGTTTTTTTTTCTGTAGAAGTTCATGCTACCCCCCCACCTCCAACAAAGGGCTTCTGTGTTTTCAAAATGCTTCCTGAAAAGCAGAGATTTTATCACCGTTAATGATGTAGTTAGTTACAGGCTTACCCTTTGGTTTCCTAAGTTTTGTTGCGACACTTTGCAAACATCATATCCGCTACTCCCTGCCAGCCAAAAGCCAGAAAATAAGGTATACAGGCCTTTAAAAGGGTAGAAGACTCTCGAGCAAATATAGTGGTGGGCATGTTGAATTTCTGCCTTTTAAAGACACAAGCAGGTGATTTCTCTAGCTGAAGGTAACAACTCCACATGAAATGCACGTTTCGAACAAATCTCTTTACAAAGTTTATTGGAAATGTATTACAGAATAAGTTATAGCTTATTTGGGAAGGGAACGCACGGCTTTCCAGACATTGTTGGACCACTGATCCCATCAGCCCCGGCCAGCATGGCCAATGTTTGGAACTGATGGGAACACGTTCCCGGTCGCCGTGCTCGGGAACTGGGTACACTGAATTCAACGAATTTATCTGAGTTAACCTGCCGCAAATTGGACGACGAGTCGTCTCAAATATCCGTACAACAATCTTCTTTGCATTTCCGAGCCAAGTTCGTGCTTCTTTCCTTGCTGATACTTCTAAATCCCCAGTTAAGTTCCCCATTTGCTCTTTCTGGAAAATCCTATAATCCAAAGTGAGGGCTAAAATGTTGCTTTGTTTTCCCCGTTGGCTGGCTGGAGATGAAGCGGAAACACAGTATTTCCAGCACGCTAATTTTTTCGTAACATTTAAAAGCAAAGCAGGTTAAATTTTATATTTATTTCGTTTTTATACTTCCCAGTAGCCAAAAGGCTCTCTGGATGGTTAACAAAGTTAAAAGAAGGTATAAACAAAAAATAGAAAAGACCAAAAAAAGAAGGTAAAATGCTATTGAACATTTTTGATTCTCCGTGCAAAGGAGTAGGGACCGTGAGGGCCACCAAATGTTTGACTGGAACTGCCCGCAATTTGGCCAAGGGTCAAAACTGAAGGGAGTTAGAAGTCCAGCAACATCTTGAAGACCATGCTTTCTCCATCCCTGCAATAGCTCCAAAATGCTTTCCCCGCACATGGAAGTCTAAAGTGAACCGGAAATGAGAGCTGTGTGAAGCGCTTGGAATGTTGCATATCTCTTTACGCGAACTCCGGCCCGTAGAGCAGCCTGTTTCTTGGCTCTCCGAACTCATTTGACCAATATTGGACTCACAACATGCCACTAATTGGCGCCATTAGTGCCAATTGATGCAAGTTTCTACTGGCCCCCTCCGACACGACCAGAAGCAGATTCCAGCCAACCGCTCTTGTGAATCCGGTCCTATCCCAAAATACCTTACGCGTCCGCTCTGAAGCATTATGGGAGTTACAGTTTTTATGTGCAATCGTTCAGGGTGGGGCAAAGCAGAATAGCTGAATTCGTACCCAGCAGCAATGTCGTATCCATAGAGATAAGGACATGTCGTAGGAGGAAGCCGTCACTCCTTGATGGCGTCACGAGCACGCTGTGTAAGCATTCCGAGCTTTTGTCCCGCCCAAGTGTGGTGGACCGGTCACATGTCTTTATGCAATAAAGACACTTAAAAAAAAAACTTTTCTTGGGAAAGAAATCTTGTGCAACGACGTCACACTTGCAAAACATAAAGTCACGTTCCCCAAAGGTCCGAGTCCAAGCAAGCAAGTCTTGCAAGCACTTATGGGCAATGTTTGGCATTCAAATTTCAGCAACCCCTCTTTGTGCTTCTTGGCTGCTGTAAAAATGACACGTCTTCAGCTGCAGCTGCTTTTCTGAGGGCTTTCCAGACACACCAGATGCATATCGTTCAATTGTTTTTACATAGCAGGACACCCCTATTTAGAAAGAACAAAAGCCTGTGAATATTTGCATAAACTTTGCATGCATTCACTTATATAAATAGATGCAAATTTAGAAGTAATTGCTGTGATTTAAATAGAAACACATGGCATCTCATAATGGGGACAACTATGTGAGCTGTACATCTGTTCAGCTTGCTGGCCAGGTACTAACGGTTTTGGGTCTTGAAGTTATAATGGTGACTTCTCCTTAAACTGTACTTGGAATAGACAGCCCTTCAAACAGGAGAGACCTTCAGAGGACTGTCTCTTAACCGCACTTCATACAGTCTTCTGTAAAGAAGGGCATGTGACCACTCCAATGTGCCTGCACAAACATGCACTAAAGATTTTTCTTTCTTATAAAAATGCATTGAATGTATCTATTTATGGAGCAATTCTATGCATGCTTAGACAGAAAAAAATCCTGCCAGCCTTCCACAGTCATGCTAGCTGGGCCATGCTGGCAGTTGTAGGGCCTTTTTTTTTCTTTTTTTTTTTTTTTGTCTAAACATACACGGGAGCACAACTTTAGTGCATTTTATCCTCCTTTTCAAACAATTATTGTCTCACACAGGCTCTTAAATCAATGAGAGAAGCCCAGCTATCAATCTTACATACTATACCAAATCCCAACCCCCCCAACACACAATTTTTATTTCCTGCCCATTTCTAACAATCATGCACTATTTGTACTTAAAACATTTAACAAGTTATTCTTCCTATTTCAGCCCCTTCCCAGATCTCTCAAGGGTATAATCCTATGCCTATTTAGCCTTAAACATATCCGTATAGATTCTAAGCTTCAAAGATGAATGTCAGACAGGTTGTTATGAAATAAGCAAGCACACAAGAAAGTGATTTTATTCTCCTCTAGGATACAGTAGGGTTTGTCATAGATGTGTGTGTGCAGTGGGAACAATGCCTGTAGCAAGGGAACTTGCTAACAGTCCATTTTGGAAAGTTGGGCTGAATCTTGACCTGCATCCTCCAGCTGCCCTGCGCTCAACATGGTTTTCCGGAAAATTAGTTGCTGGCCAGAGAGGCTGCAGTCAGTCAACTGTCAAATTGACTCCCTCACCACACAACAGACATGGCAGAATTATTATTTATTATATTTGCATCCTTCCTTTCTTCCATCCAATGAACTCAAGATGGCTTACAAAATTCTCCACTGCTCAGTCTTACCCTCACAACAGTCCTGTGAGGTAGGTTGGGTGAGAGTCTGTAAGTGCCCCAAAGTCACTCACTGAGCTTCATAGCTGAGTGAGGACAAGAACCCAGATCTCCCGAGTTCCAGTCTTGCACTCTTAAACCACTATACTAAACTGGTTTTCTTATCCAAGAACATCCCAAGATGTTCCTGCTTTTTTTTTAAACACACTTGCTTGTTTTTTGAATTCCTTGGAGCCCTGGATCTTGCCACTATCCCAGTGGTCAAACTCTAGGAAGAAAATGTCTGAATATTTCAGGGTGCTGTACATAGCATTAATTACATATTGACCCTGCTAAAGTTTTACAGAGCAGGAAGGAAACAGTGTATGTTTGTGTGGGGTTTAATCAAAGGCAAGACTCAAACATAGAACTTACTTGCAGTTCCAGCATTCAGTCCTGCAACATGGAAAATAACTTGGTCTCCCACCTGATTAATCTTAATGCATTCATATATGCCTTGTGATTTATGGCAATGGAATCCGTGGATCAGTGAAATCTGCATGAAATTGCAGATATTTAAAACAAGAGTTCTTGATCATCTAGTCTCATGGGGTGAAGACTGTCATGTTTTTCTATATTTTTGCTCTCTTCCTGTCTTGGAACCTGTGTGTTTTGCCTGAGGCAAGAAACAACATTTGAGCTACAACTAGACTTTGTTGCAGAAAAAGGGGGTCAGCTATTGCTTCTTTGTCCCAGAATGCCAGGTGTAATCTGTTATCTATAACTCCTGTCAGTGACTATTTCACTCACTCTGCAATCTCCCATGAGGATGAAGAGTGTCAAAAATCTGGACACTTTCCTGACACTTTTTAAACTTACCATTTGAAAAGAATCTACTGCCTAATGTCTATGAGCCTTTCTAGTCAAACAAAACTTTCTTCAAATGCTTTATGTCATATATTTACTTGAAGTTTAAAAGAGTACGATCCTGCTTGTTTTGACAGGAAAAAAGTCCTACAACTCCCATCATGCTGGGAATTGTAGGCCTTTTTATGTCCAAACATGTGTAGGTTTGTACCCAACTTTCTGCTCTTTAAATAGTTTAACCTCTGAAAGTATGTCTGAAACAATAAAGTACAACATAACTGAAGATCATAGTGGAAGAGCACCCAAAATGCTAGAGAAACTCATAACTTGGATTTAATATCCTACAAATGATTAATTAAATGAGATTAATCTGAGTAATTTAATGTTGCCATGACTGGTGTGAAAGATCTTATCTGCATCTCAAAGAAGACATATGCAACTTGCTTCAGTCTTACATGGACCAGCAAGTTAAAGGACTGTTAAAAGATGGAATGTCTGCTTGCTGAAAAACCTCACGGAAGAACTACAGGGATGCTATTTAGCTATTTCAAGAGTGGTAAGTGTAATGAGCTGTGACCCTTTATGGCGTGTATGCAGGGTAAGTGGGGAAGGGGGCTTGAGGTCTAGGACAGGCATTTCTATGTGAGCGACAAGTTTTTCCTCCCACGATAGATTCCTCTTGGCCCCCACCACTTCCATAATGATCAAGTTCTCCAGAAAATTCCCCATGCCTCCAAGAAGCTGTCAGCCTGAGCACAACTGTCCTTGGTGTGGGAGAATAGAGTTTCAGATGTTAGAATCTCTCTCTTCTCCCATTTTAGTTTGATCTGCTTCCATTCGCCTGACCTGCCAAGCTGGAGGGTGTGCCTGGGCCCATGAGCTCCATCCCCAGGGAAATTTGACTCACGTCCTTTCCTGGTTAGCAAAAGGTTGGAATTTTGCTGGCTGGGTTTATTGAGGCCTCACCAAGAGTCAACGTAGTGGTCAATGTCGAACTGGAACTTGAGGAGGTATGGGTTCAATTTCTTACTACTTTGGGTCAGCTGATATAGTTCAGTCTAACCTCATAAGGTGGTTGTAACTTTAATACAGGAGGAAGAGCAAAGTACACCTACCCTGGGCTGCTTGGTGGAAAGACAGGATCATGTTTGTAAATCAGGACTGAATAAACAGTTGGATGTTATTTGGCAGCCTCTCAAGTGTTTGCTATATATGCATCAAGCCAGTAATTCAGCCCTGTTTTAGAACATGTAACCCAGAGACAGGGTTTTCTCTACAGTTGTCAACTCAACTCTTCTCTTTTTGGACAAAATGAGCATGCAGATGCCCCTGAATCTCCTAAATGCCATCAGTGTTTTGCTTTCCTCCTACACATGGCACGCAGTCCATGATCTCCACCTAAAGAAAACTAAGGGCAATTTCACCCCTCTAAGTATGCTGAATTTTTCTTCAGTCTTCCAGTACCATTGATTGTGATGAAGCGCTACTGGCGACTTGATCGTGGAACCTGAAGGACATTCATAGGGTTACTCACAAGTGATTTTGCTTGTTTCAACTCATTTCCTAGAAGAGGATCACAGAGGAAAGTAAAGGACGACTGCTTCTTTCATCTCCCAAAATCCTTCCCTATAAGGGGTTGGTGTAAACTTATTAGGTCTGTGTATACAAGAGACAGCTAAATAGGATTACGTGGATGGCTGGAGTTAGGCATCTTCAGCACGCTTAACATCCATCTTGTCCATCTCTTTTTCTATCTGCAACTGCTTCATACTTGATACTGTACATGTTCACTGCCTAGTTAGTCCAAGCGCAGTAGGATTTTCCCCCAAGTAGAAGTGCCTTGCTTGGATTCCAGCCTTAGCTCCTTATTCCCCATGCTTTTAAAATTCTGGGACTCACAACTTCCCCAGCTCTTTGACTATGTAAACCATATGCAGGCGGACTGTGGGCAACCCCTGGCAGCTCTCTGTGTGGCTTTCCCACTTTACCCGACCACCCAGCTGATCAGCCACCGGCTGTGGAGTGGGCAACAGATTACTGTTTCCTTGCTGGTAATAGCAGGTTCTCTGGGACGGGGGTGGGGGAGGATTTAAAGTCACCCCCAGCCCAGTGATCCTGATGTAGAGATGACTACGGCAGGGTCAAGAGGCTTCAAACTCTCTCCCCTGCAATCCCACCCCCCGAGTTCAGCATGGAGGTTTCATGCTTTCCACATTGTATGTGGAAATATGGGTTGATGGGGAAGCAGAGCCCATGTAGGCACAAGTGTGCAGCCTCGGACCCACCACCTGGCGCTCTGTACAGCTCTTGGCCACCCTGGTCTAAACCATGTGTACTGCATTTATATATTGACTTTATATAGGCACTAACCTTGCTATATTACCTTCACTTCTGGTTCTTGCAATGGTAAATAAAAATTATAACAGCAGAAACAACAAAAATGTTCAAGAGCTCGCAGTTGCACCTTGCATTTTGTGCTCCGAGATTCTCCATTGGAAGCAAGTGTGTAGTGGTGCTATTAGATAACTTTAGACCCTGGACTTAATGGTCTTTTGGGAGGGCTGTGGTTACTACTTCAGGAATGATGGACACAGCTAATACATCTCTTCTACTAATCCCTCCTTCCCTGGCCATCCCATGTTTTACAACTGCTTCTACAATACCGATAAACAGCAGTTTCACAATCATGGCATCAACATGACTACAGGAATAAAATGGAGTTGGGTTCTGTTTCCCTGATGGGTGATACTAAACACATTCTGGGAGAATAAGCTCCATTATGCTTTAGAAAAGGGTAACTTTTTTCCATGAGAGCTAGTGTGACATGGTGGTTACAGCACTGCACTGAAATTTGGGAGATCTGGGTTCTTGTCCCCCTCAACCATGAAACTCACTAGGTGATTTTAGGCCAGTTGCAGACTCTCCGCCTACGCTACCCACAGAGTTCTTCTAAGAAAATTGAGACAAGGAGTACAATATAAACTGCCTTGGGTTCTCTGCAAGAAGAAAAAATGTGATCTAAATGCAATAATAAAGTAAAAGTAGTGAAATGAGCATGGTAACCATGTACGTATGTTAATGGCCAGCTGGTTCCTTTAAGGATCAGTGTCAGCTCAGGTGGGCTCCAGCCTTTCTTCAGAAAACTGGATGCTGATACTGGGACCTCTTACCTCTGCCCCCATCCCTCGCTGCTCTCTGCGTCATCATCTGGGGTAGGGGCTTTGCTGCTGAGCCTTGCTCCTTAGTCCTGAGGTCCAGCTCGACTTGCCCCACTGGCCCTCCTTCTGCAACTTTCCCACCTCAGGCAGAAGGAAGGGCCAGTGCCAAGAGCAGGCATGGCTGGGCCTACTGCAGAGGGCTGTACCCCATCATGAAGAGTCCTTCGCACCGGCTCCTCTCCTTCACCATTGCACCCTGCTTCTTCATCTGCCTGTCACTGTAGCCATGCAACTTGTGGAAATGAGAAACAGCAGCAGCAAATTCCCACTCCCTGGGTCTCTGCCTGCCGAGCAAGTAAGAGGTAACAATAATGAGACCAGGATGAGGAACGAGAGCAGCTGGTGACCATGACAGTGAAAGGCAGGATGTCTGAGGTACAGCAGTCCAGAGAGGGTCTCGTGCCCAAAGCCCCCTCTCCCTAAAAATACTGGAACTGGCACCATCAGGCAACAGTGCTAATGAAATAATTCTGTGCAGCAGGCCTTTGTACCAAGCCAGGCTGAATGGATGTCCTATTATATAGCTTCCCAGATGATCACAACTCTTTCCGCACACACACATCTGCAGAGAAAAGTTTAGCTCATCAGTTGTACAGGAAAAAGTTATACAGTTGTACAGAAAAAGTTTAGCTCATTCAGAGCAACTGCATCAGTAGTAGAGGCATTCCGCTGCCTTCATAACGCCACACTGTAAACACGGCGAGACGGTCTATTGCAGCCAGAGGCTGAGGGAGAACCAGAGGGAGGGAACAAGCTGTGGGTGGTGCCTCCACTTCCTTCACACAACACTTGAAAGGAATGTGGTGGTGATGGTGAGCTCATGACCCCCTCCACCCTCTCTCTGCACCCAAGCGAAGCACTGGGTCCTAGTGTCCCACCGCAACAGGAGAGGAAGGGAAAGGCTGGCAGGACGGCCCCCGGCTTCGCATCAGAGCAATTCCACACCGCTTAGAAAGACTTCAGAACAATCGGCTCTGGAGTGGCGCCCAGTGGCATTCGGGCAATCTGTTCTAAAGAGTTATGGTTAGCAAGTCTATGCATGTGGACTTGGGGCTTTGAGTAAGTGCCTGGCCAAGAAAGCCGAGCTGGCAGTGAAATTCCACAGCATGAACCCACTTTGGTCTATCTCAGCCTTCCCCCAACTTAATGTCCTCCAGATCCTCTCCACTTCTTCCCCGGAGAAGAATCCCTGATCCATAGGCAAAACTTCAACAGCGTTTAGAACAGCTTTCCCCAGCCTGGCACCCTCCAGCTATGCTGGACTGCGATTCCCATCAGCCCCAGCAAGGATGATGGGCGTTACTGTCGAACACATTTGGAGGGCGTCAGGTTGGGGAAGGCGGCTCTAGGAGCCCAGGGAGGCTGCCGCCACGTGGGACATGCGTGTCCTTCCTAAGGGGCAACCGGTGATTAGTTCCTGCCACAGACCCGTCTCCAGTTGCCCAGCCGCTTTTTGGCTTACGTCGAGTCTTCGTCTTTCGTCATCTTTTCAGCCTGATCTCGATTTTAGCCTTGCATTTTGCAGAGGAGAGGTACAGTGCGCCTAACCCATCTGCGTTATCATCCCTCCCCGACTCCCCTCAGAACGGTGCACAACCGAAAGCGACCTTCTTCCCGGTCCAGGGGAACCTCCCTCCGCCACTCGCGACGGGGCGGGCCGCCCCCGGGGCGTGGGAGGAGTGCGTGCGGCCCGAGGAGCCTGTTCCGGACGTGGGACCCGCCCCGTAGCGGCTCCCGCTGGCCAAATAGGGAAGCGGAGCGGCCGGGAATCGCTGTGCTTCGGTTGTAGGAGCGTCGATTCGTATTAAGCGGGCCCACCCCGGATCTCAGCCATATTTTTTAAGGGTGGGAGGGTGGCGGCGGGCGATGGCCGCGGCGGGACTTGGGGGCTTCTGAGTTCCTAGATCCGATTCCCTCCCCCCACCCCACATTCCCTACCAACTATGATGAATCCCAACGAAGGCGCGGCGCCGCTGGAGAAATACAAGCTGGTGGTGGTCGGGGGAGGCGGCGTGGGCAAGAGCGCCCTGACTATTCAGTTCATCCAGGTAGGTCGGAGCCGGCGCGGCCGGGCTGGCAGGGGCGGGGCAGCTCGGGACGGAAAGGTCCTTTCGTGGAGATTCGCGATCCACCGTGACAGGGCGGCGGTGCGCGTGTACGTGCGCGAAAGCGAAACTTGCCCCACGGCCCTGTGCGCTGGGAGCAGCGCGCACAAAAGATCGCGAGTTAAGTGCTGTGGACTTTACTAGGAAATTTCCAAGTTAAGTTTTGGCGGCGCCGGCTAAAGCAGGCGTGTGTGTGCTTGCTTCGGCGTAAGCTCCGCGGAGTACATTGGCGCCTTTTTCCGAGTAAACGAGCGCAGGATTGGGGCGTGTGTTTTCTTTTGCGGCGGGGACGGGAACTAATAAGTCGGCTGGATCCCGCCGTTCATCCCCTCCCCTCCCCCAGAGCAAACATGGTTTGGTGTGAACGAGGCAACGCGGGTGACACGGAACCAGAAATGTCCTCATAAACAGAGAAGGGCGGTGGGTAGTATAGCTCAGATCTGATTTTCTCCCACAGCAAAGCCATCCTTTATGAATTGACTAAATAAATAAATAAATAAATAAATATGCTCCCGATCCATCAGCGGGCCGGGCTTATGGGAGCTATCGGCCACAATATCTGGAAGGCGCCAGGTTGCCTACTCCCTCGCCAGAGGCTGTGATTGTGATCCAGCACTTTCCCTTACTGGGAGCCAGGCGAACATTGGCACAGGCGTGTTGGAAAGGTGGATCTAATGGAGCAGGGAAGGCAAGGGCCAGGGAGTGGGGAATAAAACCAGCAGAACAGCAGGGATGGCCATCAGCGACCTGCTCCACGTGTGCACCGTTCAGAAGCACCTGGGGGGGGGGCGGCCCTGGCACAGGAAGGATACTGGCCTGGGTGGCCACTCTAGGTAAAGGTTCTGTGCTGGCAGGGCTGGGAAGCGCTCCTGTGTGAGATTGCAGAACAGAGGTGGAGAACTGTGGGCTTCCAAGATGATGTTGCACTCAGACGCAGCACATCCCGGGTTGGGGATGATAAGTGTTGCAATCCAGACCAGGTTGAGGAAAGTTGTGTGATTATTCCCTCACAGGCAGAAAGATGTCTTGGATCAGGCCTGCCCGTATGACCTTTGGCCTGATCTTGCAAGTCAGACCTTGTATCCTTCAATGAAGGAAGTGGGACATCGGAGTGCAAGGTCTGCCTACAGTCTGCCTGACAGAGTGTGGGGAGATCACACGGCAGAGGTCCGAGAGAAATCTTGTACCTAGAGCCTTCAGTTCTCATGAACGAGACTAGAAGTTGGGTTTCCTGTTTTTGTTGCAAGGAGTAGCAACCTCAGCTTTTCTGTCATTCTTAACATCATTTCTCCCCTCCCTTTTTCAGTCATATTTTGTCTCTGACTATGACCCCACAATTGAAGACTCCTACACCAAAATCTGCAACATCGATGGCACTCCAACTCGGTTGGACAGTAAGTATTGACAGGCGAACTTCTTACTTAGGTGCGGAGGAGGCGAGACACAAATGTATTAGGAGAGGCAGGAGCTTGGGGGAAAGTGCTCCCAGCTCTCTGTGGCGTGTTGCATGCTTCCTGCTGTCGCTCATGTGAGGGCTGACCACAGCCTTGTGGAAGGAAGCAATATTATGCTTTCTCCAGCTGCACTGCCCTCCTTCCAGGGATGAGGCCGTTCTCTTGTGGGACAGCCAGTTGCTAGCTCAGAGAAAACAGCAGCAGTAGAACGAGAAAGAACGGCAAACCAGTGGTGGGGAGGGGAAGGTGGCAGTGGCTGAGCCAAAATAGAATACATTTATAACCACAAAGCCAGTATGGCGTAGTGGTTGGAGTGTCAAATTTGAACTCGGAAGGGTTTCCTGCTGTTGCGCAAAGCAGGACAGTCTCCTCGGATGCCTCATTCTGCTGTGTAAGCCAGGGAGATGCAAGACAGATAAAAAGTTTATAGCTTACGCTATAGACTGGACAAATTTTGATTGAGAATCATATGGCTCAGATGGGACTATGGCCAATGGAGATTTTCACTTTTTTATGAATGTGTTTATATGTTGATATCATATGCTGTATTTGTGGTTGACCCTTGGCATCTTTTCTTACATTTCCTTTGTCTTCTTATTGTACCTCGTGAAAATAAATTTAAAATGCTTTGGAAATAAAGACAGATAAAAGTCTTCACACAATGCATAGTTAAACTGTGGGATTCACCACCATAGGATATAGTGATGACTACTAATTTGAACAGTTTTAAAAGAGGATTGGAGAAATTCATGGAGGGGAAGATTAATGGCTGCTATCAATGGCTGCCAGCCCTGATGGCTCTATGCCACCTCCAGGGTCAGAGGTATTCAATGTACACCACTGAATTACCAGGTAACTGGTGTAGGATTGCATCTTTAAAGAATGTGTGGCTGTCATGTAATTTGAACCGAGAACCTAGACATTCATAGGTTCTCCTCCCTCCTCACCGGCCCATGTCAGCAGGCAGGATCCTTAAACTGCTTCAACAAGACTGACTGCTGATATCAGGCCTGGGCACCCCATGAAACATTCTTCTTTGTGGGTGGCAGGCAGTGCCACTTGGCTGGGAGCCACCATTTTAATTTCTCATGATGCCCCCTATAGCATGACTCTGAGGCATTGTGAGAAATTTAAATGGTAGGTGTTGGTCACTCAACACTGTCTGCTGCCTGGTGAGTCCATTAGGACTCGTCAGAGTAAGAAAGCAGTGCATCAGAGAGCACCCACCTCAGAGGAGTGGGCCCTCTTTGCTGAGGAGCTCCCTTGGACCAGAAGCTGGCCCTACAGATCACTAAACTATATTTAGTTTAATCGCTAAACTATACCAACCACTATGTGAAATCCATCTTGTTCAGGGTGATTCATAGCAAAACTATTTTCCTTCTCTTACAATGCCCACCTGTCAGTTCTGGACACTGCTGGTCAGGAGGAGTTTGGGGCCATGCGAGAACAGTATATGCGTACAGGGGAAGGTTTCCTCCTTGTCTATGCCATCAATGACAGAGGCAGGTAAGACCCGAGCCATGTGGCTCACATTGCAGCGTCTTTGTCATGTTAGCCCTGGATAGGGAACCTGTTCCTTTCTTGAGGCTTCATGTTGGAAGTGGGAGGAGTTGATGCTGGCAGTGGGAGACACCAGAGCTAAAGTGGTGGGACCACCTTTTTCCCTCTGTTTCAGATACCCCTTTTTCTCCCTTTTTGTCTCCCTCTTCCACATAGTTCACTTAATTTGTTCTCATAACACTGAAACAGACCATGCTATTCCCCATTTTACCATAGGGAAACTAAGCTTGGAAAGAATGTGTCATAGTAATGTGATTGTATACTTAAGAAACAGATTCGATGCTGCACTAGTAAAAGTTCATGAGTAGGCCGCATTCATGTTTCCACTTCCTCCAAAACAGGAAGATTTTTTTAAAAACCAAGTCATTTATTGCATTGTTAAGGATGCAATACTATGGTCCCTGAGAGGCCATCTGAAGGACAATAGGATAATGTGGCCCTCCCTTCTCCAGACAGGAAGGGAGGGCTACCTGTAGTTTCTCTCCCAAGGCAGCAACAGAACTTTCTGTAGTTGTGGCTACTTCTTGAGAGTTGCTCCTATGGCAATAAGGTGGGGAAAGCAGGTATTCTGGGATGTGTAGCAGGATGGATTGAAGGGGATTTGGATCTGCCGTATTCTCTTCTGGATACATTGCCTGAATAGGGGACAACCACTACCTGCCCTAATGCTGCCACAAAGACTTTCTCTTGTACTGGAGGCAATAGGAGGGTCATAGTCAACCAGTTAAAAAAGACCAAAAAACAGAGGAGTAGGCGGGAGAAGGCTGTACTCTCCCTTGGTTTGCACCAGATGTCATACATCTGGCAGGACCCAGTTCTGTTGCAGTTGCTCCCCCTGCCCCTCCGAGGATTGTGCTGCCCTACTCTCTTTCCCGGGCGCATCTCACTGAAGAGTAGTCCTCTTCATCTCCTTTCCCTCTCAACTGCAGTTTCAACGAGATCAACAAGTTTCACACTCAGATACTGCGAGTGAAAGACCGTGATGAATTTCCCATGATCCTCGTGGGCAATAAGGCTGACCTGGACATTCATCGGCAGGTGAGAAGGACATCTTAATATTCATCTCCCAAGGCATGTTACACGGACTGGCTAGTATTTCAATCAGCCTCTCAAACCACAGATGATGCTTTTTATATTAGAGTACACACTGTTCACATAGCGTCTTTTTGGTAATCTAGCTCCTAGGCGATCCTGGTGCTCCAAAATGGTCTGCAGGCAACGTCCTCTCCACAACTGGAGAGAGGAAAAGGAGGTGTGCCACAAAATGTGTGGACGTGGCCCTGGAACTGGAAGAATTACAGCAGCTTTGCCTGGAGCCGATATATTTCTTTCCCAGCCAGTGGGAATAAAGTGCAGGGAGAGCCATAGAAGGCCAAATGAAAATAAAGGGGGAAAGCACCAGCACAATGTAAGAAAGGGTGGTGCCCCTGCTGCAGATTTTCCCTTCCCCATAGGATTGCTGTGCCTGCCATAGTTAGAATAGAGCTATAGAAATCAATGGATCTTCGGTGAGTCATGACTAACCAAAGTCCCATTGAGTTCAATGCATCTACTATAAGGATGACCGATTCTGGATCTGACCCTATCACCTGCTCCAATCATTGTAGGTGGTTGACTGATTTTCAAAAACATGTAATCAAAATGTAATCCAAGCACACCAGGCCCATTGAAATGAGTCAGGATAGTTCACCTACCAATGTAGTCTCCAAATGGAGAGGTGGAGAGATGACTGTTCATTCACACTGACAATTTCATTTTGTTCCAGCAAGATAAGATACCAGAGTGCTTGATGAGTGCTTCTTAGCAACCACCATTTTCCCTGGAACTCCCACAGCTGGAGAGATTAGCCTTCACTAAACACAGAGATGCAGGGCAGAGGTGAATTGCCATTGAATCTTAGCAGACTCATCACACAAGCCACATAGCTTGCAACCTTAATTCAAAGCTGGCTCCTTTAATTGGCAGCCATGTAGATATTGCTGGATTTTGAGTGAATTTTAGGAGTGTAGTGGCCTTGTGACTTTAAAGTTTTTGAAAGGAAAATGGTGGTCTATATGATCAGGCAACCATTGAAAAGTCAGTACAGTGTCTTGTTTTAGAGACTATTTGTTACAGTTCATTACAATTATAATAATCCCTGCCTTTCTTCCATTTTCAAACCCAAGGTGGCATAAATCGGGTTCCTAGCAGTTTCCCATCCAGACACTGGTCAGACCCAGACTAACTTAGCTATGGGCATGGGATGTATGGGTTTCCATCTCCTTCTATATCCTCTGCTTGCCTTATAATGCTTATGACATTCCCAGATGATAGAATTATAGAATAGTAGTTGTAAGGGCCTTTGGGTCCAACTCCCTGTTGTTGCAGGACACCAACAGGAGTGGGACACTATCCCACTCAGGTGACTGTCCAGTTTCTTTTTGAATGTCTCTAGTGTGGGAAAGCTTGTACTTCCTCTTCATGATGAAAATTTTATATTGATTTTTTTGTGCTATGTGCACTTGTCATTTTATCACAGTTGGTCTCCAGAACTAAAAGAGCTTGACTGAGAGAAAAATTACCTTGAGGAGATGTCATTTACAGAGACGGTTTGGTAGCCAGAAGGCATAATGTATCCCACCCCACTACCCCACTTCTTCCCTTGACAAGTTCGCCCCCGTCCCCGAAGATAATTGGCTAAATCCAGATTTAGTCATTAGAACAGATCTGTTGAAAATCCATGAGACTTACATTAGCCCTGACTAAATCTGGATCCAAGCCAGTATCTGCTTTGGCCCTTCAGCAAATTCTGTGTTTTATTTGGAGATGCTGCTTGACGCAACAGCATAACCACCCAGTATGGCTTCCATTCTTTTTTATCTATACCCTGTGCTCACCCCGAGCTTCTCCCTTGCCTCATGTTTCTGCTTGTGCATCACATTCGCTGGCAGGTACCCAAGGAAGAGGCTCTTAGCTTTGCCCGGGAGAACCGAATCCCATACATGGAAGCTTCTGCCAAAATCCGCCTCAATGTGGATGATTCCTTCTACGAGCTGGTCAGGGCCATCAGGTAAGAGGGCGCGGTGGTTGCTGTTGCTTGTGCTGAGCTTGACGCTTTGAAATAAGTAGCTCCACCAGGGCTGAGGAGAGGATTGTCTCTGACAATATACCTCGATATGGATGGTGTTTGTGTCCAAGGTGCTTTCAGTCAAAATGTACCGTGCTGCTATGGCTTCTTGCCCTCCTTAATGGCTGTTGTATGGAAAGAAAAGAGATGGAAGAAGCAGTGAGCAAACAGAAGAGGGGAAGATGGCACTGTCTCGGACCCGCACAAACGCACCAATTCCATGAATGAGGCACCTGCACCATTGAAGTCTTATCTGGAAGCTCTTCTTCCTCTTCTTTCTCAGGCCTCTTAAGCAAGATGCCAGGTGTCTTGCATCTTGCTTAAATGAAAACATAACTTAAATGAAAACATAATTTAAATGAAAACATTTAAATGAAAACATAATTTACATTAAAATGAAAACATAATTTAAAAAAGAACAATGAAATAACACTCCCTATAAAGCAACTAATGGTGCAGTCCCGTGCCTGTTTTGTGGGCCTTTTTTTGCACCTTAAATTAACCAGTCTGTCATACGTTCTCAAATGCCTACAAGTCGAGGAAAGTTGTAGCCTGGCACCAAAAAGATGGCAATGTTGGTCCCAGGCGGTCCACACTGGGGAGATTATTCCTCTGTCACAGGGGCAAGAGGCACCTAAGCGTTGGGCTGGTATGTCTTCTCTAACTTGCACTATTAGCCACTTGAAGTACATCTGTAGGAAAGTGAGATTGCAATAATCTGATGATAAGAGATATTTCTACCCCCCCCCCCCCGCCGCCCCACTTCCAGCCCCAAATAATTCAGGCCTGGACTACCTTTGATTGGCCAAACTGGTGGCAAATTACTGGCCATGTTTGGCAACCCACTAGGGGTTTAGTAAATTAGATTTTTCTATTCAGCAAGTACTGCCAAAATTGAGGTTGCAGGAGGCTGGGGAGTATCTTGAGGACCACGATAGTAGGCTGGAGGGCCCCCTGGATAGAGCAGGTCATGAGTTTCGTGGCCCTGCTGTTTCAGTTTCTGCTATATGTGCCAGGAATGTGTCATAACCTACAGAATGTGTGTGTGTGTGTGTGTGTGTGTGTGTGTACATGCGCACACATACACATATATGTGCATGCAGTGCTTGGCACAGCCTATCTGCGGGTGGGGGCAGGGGGGCCATTTGGCTCAGATCTCACATTCATGGAGGTCAAGAATTTGAATGTGCTGAAGCAGGTCAAGAATTACTACCATTCAGTTATGAGACAAGGTTGTTTGAATGGCCTTGCTGTGTTTAACCCAAATGATATTGCAAGAAAACCAATTTTTTCCCATAATAATTGATGAATTTGCTCAGAAAGAAGCCAGAAAAGCACTTGTTAAATAAAAGAGCAGTTATTACAAATTACTACACTCTATCCCTTTTCTGTTAAGTATGCAGTTGTTGTAGGTTACCATTGAAAATATAACAATTGTGTAATGCTGTTTTGGCATTACTTCATTTTTTAATATGCCACAGGGGCCTCAAAAAATGGAAGTGGGCCAGGCCTGTCTCAATTTCTGAGAGGGCTTGTGTTTGGTTCCCCTTCTGGTGGTCTGTCTGCCACCTGTACAGGTGAATTCTCAGCCGCATGCTGAAGATAAAGCATTTCTTTTCCTCAGAGAATGGTGGCTTAGGTCTGCAAAGAGATGAGGCTGTAAGGTATACATTACTAAGCTAAGCTTGACTATCTAGTGCAACATTCTTTTCCCTGCTGTGTCCAGTCCAGTATTTCACAGAGCTCATGCCACCTCCGCCATTCATCCACAGATCCTGCTTCAGAACATGGAGTCTTTTGGATAATCAGTGCTGTTTTTCTCCATTAAAGTGTCTGTGTTACTCCTCCTTAGGGGAGTTAGGTTGGTGTTATCCCTACCGAGTCTTCTATGGCTGGTAGAGACCGTGCTGCTTCAAGGGACCTTTGACTAATGTTAATCTTGTCTGCATTGGTTTTAAATGATGCTTAGCCATGTGTTTTGTTCTGTTGCTATTTTATTTTTATTGTGTTATCTATTTGAACTGGACAACACTTTGAGGGCTGGTGAGTAGGAAACTGATGTTTAGGTGCTGCTGGTGGTACCTTATCACAAAGACCAGCCCTCTCCAATCCAGGGCTCCTAGATGTGTTGAGTTACAGCCCTGTCATTCCCCGCCAGCCTGCATGTTGAGCTTGTACTTCAAAATATCTGGAGGATGCTGCACTGGAGAAGTCTAAGTGAGACTTTTTCAAATACTAGTGAAGATCAGCTTTCCCTGAGCTGATGCTCTTGATTAAATTTATATAAAAGCTGCCCCATTAGCACTATTTATTTATTTGATTCCATTTCTTTGTTGCCCCAAAACCCAGAGGCTCCATTATGATGCCCTACATTCCTCCCCATTGTCCATGCTGTGTGGGGCTGATGGGGGGAGACCCACTTGGGATGGGGCTGATGCAGGTGGTGGAATATACAGGCTCTTTGATTATGTTTTGTCTCCCCCTCTGAGCTCAACGGTTTTGGTTTTGCTTTGTTGGGCAGGAGGTTTCATGAGCTGGAGTCTCCCCCTGCCCCAGCTGTAAGCCCTAAGAAGAAAGAAAGCAAAGGCTGTCCTTGTTCCATTCTGTAAACTGCTCTTCCACACCAAGCTACAGACCCTGGAAGGGGAAGACAGGAGGTTCAGGTTCCCTCCCAACCAGAGGATACAGCAGGATTTTCCCTGGCTCCATCCACCTCTCCCACGGCAACAAGGGCTGGCAATGTGCACGCTGCAGTTGTGTCTAAATACCACTTATTCCTCTACTCACCAAGGACCCTACCAACTGGAATGGGAGGCAGGAAGCAGAAAAACCATGTTTCTCCCATCAGCGCCTGCCTAACTGAGGGGTTACACTTGCTGATGAGGGTGTTGGGGGGATCTGTGCCTGCGTATCCTACTCGCTCACTTCTCTCTCCTGAATTTTTCCAAGGAAATTATGTAGAAGATACCCCGCTTTGCCAGGGGGCAGAAGGCAGGGATGATTTAAGAAATGTGTGTGCATGGTACCAATTTGGAAGAGATGGGCAGATACAGGATAGCCTGATTATATATTGACTTACGGAACTGAAAGCAACAGCAGCGGATTAGGTACTTCACTGCAGCTAGAGCAAGCTTGCTTCTCCACCTACACAGATAATACATACTCATTCAAAGGCATATTGTGCAAATGTATTTAAAGGGGTGTTTTAATTGTTTCTAAATAATTTTAAAAAATCAGCCATACTTATGCACAACAGTGCCCTACTGAGCTGTAGAGGAAGGAGGAGCAGGCACACAATTCAATCTTCCCAGACTCTTGCTGGCATTGGCCATTTCTCCTGGAACGGGGAGGAACTTGCAATCACCTTTCCATGAAGATTGGTAATGTGAGGATGCCTAACGGCAGAGGGGGAGAAAAACCCCTCTTATCTTGGACAAAGGAGGTAACAAGGGAAGAAACAGTAAATTTAAAACCTTTTTATTTTCCCAATGTTTTAAGAGCTGACTTTTAATGGGGGTTTTATGATTGGCTAAATTTTAGGACACTGTGTTTTAAAATTTTTTACATTTTGTATTGTTAAACCATCCCGAGACTTCGGTAATGGGACAGTCTACAAAAGTTTTAAATAAATAAATACACAAATAAATAAATAATCTCCCACTGCATACATGCAAACATTTTTGCTGGTCGATGGTAACGTATGGAGGCTGGAACTAAAAACAGTCCTACCTCTCATTTCTGTTGAGAAGGTGCTGGGTAGGGCAAGTTTTAAACTTGAGTGTTAACTATTGAAACCAAATTCCAATGCCAGTCACCACAGATCAGAGGTAGGCACCTTGGTAGTTATCAGATGTTTTGGAGTGTTTGAGAGTCCAAGACATCTGGCAAATACTGGGTGGCTTCCCCTTGCAATTTTAAAAAAGTTGTGCTCTCCAAGAACAGAATGGTTTGGTTTCACGCTACATAATTCAAAAGATGTACTCGTATCGATCTTCTCTTTCTTGCTTGCTTTCCCTCTCTGATGCACTCGTTAAGCAGTAAGCAAAGGTGAAATAGCAAGTTGCCATAGTTTTTTTTGTTAGCAGTTCTTTTGTGGTCATTTGTCATGTAATCCTACACAATCATGTTTAAATGTCATTCTTGCATGCATTTGTATGGAGTGATCTTGATCCATGATCCTCGCAAACGTCATTCAACATTTTCTTGTTCTTTGACAGCCCCACCACCTAAGAGAACTACCTATCCAGCATTTTGTTTATATTCTGCAGCTCTTCTGCCTGCTACCTATTGAGGAAAGGGCTGCATGAAACAGGCTTTTCAGCAATAAAGAGAAGGGATGTGTGTAAATGAGGTATCGCCTGCCAATAGCCCTTCCAGCATGTTGCTGTAGAGCATCCCAGCCTGTAAATATGAAAGTTACCATTTATCCAAAACCCACCTTGGAACACCGTAAGTGCCACACCTCATGGCATAAACCATCATGGATTAGAGCAGACTGTGCCAGTTGTATGAAATGTTCTCAGTTGGCAGGGGTAATCTACACAGGTACCGATTTTTTTAATTTTTATTTTTTACGTTTTGCAAACAGTGGGGCCAAAAGGCCATGAAATGCAATGGTAGTAGTGGGCTGTGAATTTGTCACTTATCCACAAGTAATTTTAATAAAAGGGAAACATTTCCAGATCACAGTGTGTAACTGTGTTCATTGTGGTGCGGCACAAAATGAAATGTGTAAGAGCACGCAGCCCTGGGTGGACTGTTGAGATCCTAAGTATAGTAGGTAGGCTATTTCAGGAATGACACCAGGATGGATGCAAACTTTAGGATGCAGTCCTATAAACACCTGGGAATTAACTCCACTGAAATAAGGGGGCAGGGACTTTGGTTCAGTGGAAGAGCCTCACAGGGCTGTTGTGGGGATAAGACTGAGAGGAGGAGGAGGAGAATAATGTAGGCCACTATGAATTCTTTTAAAAAAAAAGAGGGGAAAAGGCTGGATATAAAAGAAATAAAGAACCTCTGCATTGCATGCAAAAGGACCCAAGCTCAATCCCAAACATCTCCAGGAAAGAAAAACAACCTACCTGAATTCCTGGGAAGCTACCTCCTGGCAGTATCTACAATACTGACCTAGATGGATCAACGAGCTGACTTGGCATCAGGCAGCTTCCTATGTATACAATGAAGCTTCAACGTAAGATTGCTCCAAACCACACAGCTTCTGCTGAAAACAGGCAGGAGAACCATGAAGAGACATCTCTTAGTAGGAGCATGGCACATAAGCGTGAAGCCGTGTACATGGGCTATAATGGAAGCAGTATATAACCCCAGATGAAGTCTACTGGTCTAATGCGTGTCAATGCTTTCTAGCACTTTCAGACCAGTCAAAACTGCAGACCCTTCCCCTGTCATGCTCTTGCCTTTCATTATGCATTTTGGCAATGCCTTTTGTAAAGGCCTTGCACTTAACCCAATTTGGGGCAAGGTAGGTTGAGAGAACAGTGCTGCTGTTTATCTTTTAATTTTGCATGAAGTCAACGTGCATTTAAATTTGGGGTTTCTATCCTAGTTTGTAGCCAGGTACAAATTATGTTTTGAGCTTTTAGAAAGTGTCACATTCCTAGGACAGAAGTGCATGTTAAAATGAAAGCAAGAAACTGCAACAAAATAATACTTTTCAAAAAAAAAAAGTGTAAAAGGGTTGGTGTGGAAAGAGTCCTGAAACTGCAACAAACGGGAAAACCAGTGGCTATTTCTTCATTCAACATATATAGAAAACGATAGGCATCCTTTACTGCACTGTTTTCAAATGCAGTTTTCCTACCTGATTAAAAAACAAAAGTTGCCCTCTCCCAGATCAACTTGGTTGTGATGTTTGCTGAAGTTCCACTGCTTCCAGGTAGTCCTGAGGAACGAGCTATACAGATCATACAGAACCTTGCAAATTAAAAGCACTTTTCCTTCCAGATAGAAAACAGCTTTTCAGACTTTGCATCTTTACATTTTGCAGAGGTTAAACTTCATTCTCTCAGTATTACAGGTGCACTAAAAGGAAAGGAGCACTCTGCATCTTACGATAGCAGTTGTGCAAAACCAGAAATAGAATCAGGAAGTTGTTTTTTCTTTTAAAGGTGTGAATAAATGCAGTAGGTGACAGATAAAAAGACAAATAGAAAATAGATTTTTAATACCAATTTTGATAAAAGGTTGCAATACTTCCTGGGGTCTATTTAGACATCATGTTCCTATCTCATGTGTCCAACAAACAATCTTAGGTTCCAGTCTTAGCTCCTGACCCAAACAATGCTGTTAATTCTGCAAAATAAAACAAAACTCAGGGCTGAAGCAGGTAAGGTCTGCCTTTATTCTTGTGATTTGAATGATCTTTGCTTCAATAGGAAAGAATACTGAATAATGCAGGGAAATGATTTCCCTTCTCATCTAGAGCCAGGAATGATGTTCCAGTGTCTCAGTTGCCTTTTAGAGTTGCCCAGGAGGAAGACTTCAAACCAGGGATCGTGAGTTCTTCAAGCAGATTAACAAATGAGTCAGAAGTAGCAAGGTGTTAGGGCCAATAGCTACAATGGCAGGCCTCTCTATGTAGGGATAAACAGGATCTAGGAGTGGAAGCCAGAGGGTTCCTGGGACTTCTCGTCTCTGTCCAGACCCCAGCCTGCCAATGAACCAACTTGAACCAACTTTTACCTGCTTACCACTGCACCCCAACCCATAACGCAATGAACAAAGCTGTGCGCCAGGCATTTGATTTTTGCAAAGAAAAGTGTTTTTTGTCATTTTGTTGTGTACACAGTATACAATGTGAGTTTTACATATTGAGAGAAAAAAACGTCTCAGACACTAATAATAAACAATAAAAATATATAGGAACATCCAATAATACAGAACACAAATCCCATATCTCAGAACAATACCCTTGAGGCGCGAACAAGATACACAGAAATACACGTCGTAAAAAAGGGGGCCTTCTGAGATCCAAATGGGGGGGAGGAGGAAGAGAAAAGTCTTTTTTGTCACAGGAAGCTGGGTGTGTGTGTGCATGTGTGTGTGTGTGTGTTGTTGATCAACTCGGAGCTGGGCCCCTCCAATTCTGGGTGCTCAGTGTTTGGCCACGTTACCCCTCCATCCAGGGGCAGTGCTTTAGCAGGGTGGGAGTCTGTTGTCCCAGGAAGTATCCTAACTCCATGTCCCTCGAACGTTAACCTGTACTGGGAAATACTCCCCCCCCCGCCCAATTCCCTCATTACACCAAAACCATGTTCAACTAACCCCACTTCCACACACAGGTTCAAGCTACAATCTCTCACCTCTAAAGTCCAACAGCTATCAGTAACCAGGTTTGCTAGGGAAAGCTGTCAAGAAGTGAACTGCAAGCTTTACAATATCCAAAAGGAAGCCAAGTCAACCCTCTTCCCCCTTAAAAGCACTCTAATTTGAATGGAGATCTTGTACCCCATATTCCACCCACCCCACACACATACTCACATGCACACCTGCCAACCTCTACTCATCCACAATAAATAATGGGGGAAGGGGCAGGACCCAAAGGGACATGGGGAACTGTGTATACATAAGGGACTCTCACCTGACCTAAACACCCAGGTGGGCCCCCAAACACATTTCTGTGCTCTTCAAGGACTTGTCCGAAGTCATTCTGCTAGGGCAAAGAGGCCACCTCTTTGGAGGTGGGATTTATTTCCCTGACCCACCCACCCAAAGTACCTTTTCATACCTCCCTCCTCCCCAACAACAGTCAATTAAAAAAAAAAAACCCCAAAAAGGGTACCGGGAATTTTTCACCTGCCTTACTGATTTCGAAACTTGATTTGATGAGGAAATTTTTGGGAAGGCAAAAGACCAAGTATTTGGAAACCTAGAAGGGCAAGTGTTTGGGAACTTGGAAAGAACATATAAGGGAAACAAACAAGCTGGAGGGGGAATGAAAGACAGAAGAAATGAAATTGGAGGGCATGGGATTGTGCTGGCACAAAGAAATTGGATGAGTATCATGAAGAAAAAGAGAATGTTGGGAACAAGAATGAGGTAGACATTGGCTGGGAGATGGGAATCTGGTGCTGAAGAATCTATGTTCAGGTATGGGATCAATTTGGGATGTCACCAGGAAGCTTGTGGGGTGAGGGGTGTGAAATGCTGAGGAGGACCAGTTAATTCATGTGTGAGAGGCCACTAGGAAATTTCTGAAAAGAAAAATACAAGATTTGATGTGGCTGAATGCTGTGGAGAGAGGGACACCTGTGACCTGTGAAATGAAGAGTGGGTGGCCAGGGCTAGGACCTAATCCTCTATCTAAACAGAGTTTATTTTAGCATTTCAGCTCAGGGTTAGAGAAGGATCTTTGCTTAGGAGGCTCGGGGTGGGGACACAGAATCTCCCTTCCCCCTCAATAACAACAACAACAATGATAAAAAATTAACAACCTCCTAATTAAAGTTTCAGTCCAAACCAAAGAACGTCACAGCTACAGGTGAGGAGAGAGAAAGAGAGAGACTTCTGCGCATCGTTAAGTTCAAGTTAGTCAAATACAATATGATACATAGACTTTTTTTATCCTATACAGTATGTACAGCTGGGAGGAGGAGGAGCAGAAACCTGCCTTGTCAAACACCGCAACAGGGAGGAGTGGGGGGAAAATAAAAATAATTACCCCTCCCTCAAAGGAGCTCAGATCTAACAGGCACAGAGGGATGTATCTGCAACCCTCTACTGCACCCTCCCATGATCCTCGTGGGGCCAGTTGAGAAGTCTAGAAAAAGGGTGAGGGGAATTTAGGAAGTCTTGGTACAGGCAGGCTGCTCTGGGTTTCACTAAGCTCCCCCAACCCATTACTGTTATCTCATCAGAAGGGATACTGGGAAAGGCGGGGAGATGCTCCACATGTCCAAAAGAGCTAGAATCCCAAACCCAACAGCAGAGGGGAAAAAAAGTGGCTCGCGGCAGAACCAGCAGCAGCAATCGCCCCACAAAAAGACAGGAGAAAAAGACGGAAGCTCCAGAGAGAGCGTGCTCTGCAACAAGCTGTGGTCGGGGAGGAGGAGGAACTTGGCAATAAATATTCCTGTTGGAAGCAAGCACAGGCAGGATCGCTGCTCGTGCACGAGCGGGTGCCTCCCCCGCACTCCACGCAAAACAGCGATTTGGCAGGGGTGGGGACAGACGTGTTTGAGGGCAGGGAGGGGACATGGGGTCGTATTGCCTGATCAGACCGTGGATGATAGGAGCTCGACGCTATATAAAGGGTGGCCAATGCACCATCCCCACACACAATACTCAACTCTCCCTAAGGAGAAGTACAGGTTCTTGATGGAAGAGATGCAGGAGAGAACCCAGGAACCTGGATCCTTCTGCTTGTATCATTCTCATGCTGCCAACCCACCTGGACCCTGGGAGGAACCAAGGAGTTCTGAATCCCTGCTTCCCAGCTCTAAACCACACACCACCACACCTCTGACCTTCCTATGGGTTCTCCTACTCTTGCCCCACCAGAGCAGGGGGCAAGGCTGCTCAATTAGACATTTATACATTTATATATAAATAATATTTCTCTGTACAGCCAGGGCAAAAGGGAAAGGGGTTGTCCAACCATCCAATATTTGATAAGAACCCTCCTCAACGTGTCCTCTTTGCCATCACAAACCTCCTGCATCCCACCACCAAAATAGGAGGCCCATCCCAAGTCCTGTTTTAAAAATTTTAAAAACATAAAACAAAAAGGGAGGGGGTGGTGAGCTGAGTCTGAACTCGTTGCCTGTAATGGTACCCCTCGACCTTCCTCTCCCCACTTCCTGCTCTGGCTTTGCAGAGGGGCGGGCATTAGGCAGCCCCTCCTGGGGCGTGGCTCTGGCGGCTGCGTCACGCGCATTTGCTTTGCGCCTGAGTCAGCAACTCGCTGAAGGAGTCAAACAGTTTCTCTAGCCATGGCTGGTTGCGCATGCACTGCTGCACCACCTCCTCCTGGCCCAGGTCCTCGTCTTGACCCTCAATCGCCGTCGTCTGCGGAAGAGAGGCAACAGAAACAACACATTAGCCTTGGAGATACACACGTGTGTGGGGATTGCAAGAAAACACCAGATATAGACTGGACCTAAGCACGTCCAGAACTAACCAAACAACTAACCCAAGGAATCCAAATCTGCAACCTAGAAAGAAAAACTGGATGTTGAACACATGTGCAATCTGTCTCTCAGTTCCATATTTTGTTCCTAGTTTTGTGACACATGGGAAGGAAGCAGAAGCTGATCCCCCCACCAGCTTCACCAGAGGCAAATCCTCTAACCCAGGGCTGGCAACCTGAGACCCTCTTGATTTTTGGGCTACAACTCCCAGAAGCAGTAGACAGAAAGGTCAATGGTCAGGAAATATGGAAATGTAGTCCAAAATATCTGGTTGCCAATTTATGATCCATTGGAAATCCCCTCCTGTCGCCGTTCTGCTTTCTACAAGGCACAGAGCCCCACGTTTATCTTTGCAACCACATGGAAGAAGCTTTTCTTTTAAAGCTGAGATTCTTAGAAAGCTCAGCTCTTAGTCCAGTACTACATTCTGTACCTTTTCTAAGCTTGGCACAAATGACAGCATATACACAATCCTTCTTATGACTGTATGGGACTAAAGTGGGAGGGGAAGGCAAATTTTTCACATAAAACAATCCCAAATTCTGCTGTCAGAATTAACAGGGCATCACTAAGTATCACCAAACTAAGCTGGTTCTTTTGCCTCAACAACAGTCTATTTCGCATTGCTGATGCAGCTGTCTGCATAATGCTTCCCTTGAGGAAAGGCAATCCGTGGGTTTTGCTGGCACTCCAGATCTGATTAAAAGTCACCATGAGGACTTCTGCATCATCAGAATCTGGAATATCTCTGGAACTACTTGAAAGAGGAAAACCCTGTCCAGTTATGTTCATCCCTTGCAGGATGCCGATGGTAGCCTGCAAACAATGAAGATGTGGCAACGTAGTGATTTGGAGACCTTTTCTTTCTAAAAGAAAAGAAACAAGATTCTCATCATCTTAACTGTTCCTTTCCAAGGGCTGCAGTCTTACCAGGTAATGGAATATCTCTATATGGATACCTGACCTACAGAATAATCTGTGCACAGAAGTCAAGTCTCCGTGGCACCAAATATGCTTAGCTGGCAGATGGGAGACTCCAGTCAAGACAGACCCATTTATGCAGCCTGAATTCCACCTGACACCTGCCCCCTACTTGCTTCTGTGTTATGGTTAGTGTGTGCAATCATAAAAAAGGACACAAGAGGCAGTACATGAACACACATGCTTATGTCAGAATACCATTACTGTTCTAACCATGCAAAAGGGTTTCCCAGGAGAAACTGCGAAAGGACTCACCTCATCCTTACAACGCAGAAAGGTGTGGTACTTGTAGTGGTGAAGGGAATGGTATAGAGTGTAGAAAAAAGACTTCTCCACTTCCACACTGAATTCCTGTTGGCAGTAAGGGTGAAAAAAATGAGGGATAAAATTGCTCAAGGGAATCACAGGCCAGTGCTTTTCCCTGCTCCTGTCTCGACTACAACGTTATTGCTTCCAGAATCCTAGAGACATCTCAGGACTGGTCTCACCCAGATGATTCACAGCCATCAAGAAGTCTAGAAGTCTCCACCTCCTGCTACCCGTTACAAACTGTTCTTTGTTGGGCTGCCCCTCCAGCCACATCATTCCATTCTGCCTCTGCTAAACTACTCTCTCTTTCCTATTACTGTAGACGCATTTTTCACCTCAGGGCTTGGTATTTTGGCATCAACCTGAAGCTCTTATCTTTGAGGCTTTCAATGTTCTGCACCTCTCTATGACAAAAGCCTGGCCTACACATGTGGAAGAATGAGGTGCTGGGGATGAAGAGAGAAAACAGATTGAGGTAGGAATGAAGCTTTAGTTAAGAGATGGTACCAGTCCAGGTTGCTGTGCAGGAGATGCTACATGCCCCCCCCATCTAAAAAACAGGAAAAAAACAACTCCCTGCAAGCAATTATAATAGAACGCTTTGCATGTAGGTCAAAGGGTGGCCCTCCAGATGTTCTTGTGTACAACTCTTGTGTACAATTACAAACATAGGCTGTGCTGACTGGCGCTTACAGGAGTTGCCCTCCAAGATACCTGGTGGGTAAGAGGCTGGGGAAGGCTGCCGGGGAATATTGTGTTACTACGGCCCATGCTATGCTGCCCCCTACCTAAGCCTAACAGAGCTTTCTCCTCTCTGTGCAGAGCTGCCAGAACCCTAACTTCCCCTAGAAGCGAATTCACAAAGTTAGGTCTCAAATATTTAATCTTCCTTATTCTCAATCATTGCTATTGCTTTGCTAAAATTCACCTCTTTCCCCTCCCTTGGCCATCTTTCTTAAACTTGAATGCCTTCCAAGCAAGGATCATGTTACTTTCCCAAGTACTAAATAAATGACTGTTAAGTAGCAGAAAGCAGTAAGAGCAGGGCCAAGAAATCCATCATGCATTTTTCTTGCCAAAATGGAGGGACAGTATGGCAAAGAAGATCACATTCCAGTTTGTTAGTGTTTTCAAGACAGGAAGTGTTGAAATCTGAACATTGTTCAGAGAATTTGTATCCTTAAGGATATGTTAATTTCTCAAACTGCTGAATGTTACTTCTCTTAAAAGTGCAATTTTTTAAAAAAACTTCCATTATTCTGATTTCTGAAATGTTTTATCATTTTAACATGCCCAGGATTCTGAACAAAACTAAATCAAACTTAAATTATACATTTAAGGGATTCCCATCCCCAATCTTTCAAACTGGTTCTAGAAAAAAGAATTTCCAATCTCCTTAAATTTTTAGAAAGTGAAATTGTCATTCTTTTCTCACAGGCAAAGGTGACAGTTGCTGAGATTTTAAATTCTTTTTACATATTTTTGGCTGTTATTACTAAAATTTTATGTCCTGCCTGTAATAAAATGCCCCAACACTCTTACCTTTACCAATTCTCAGTTATCTTTCACTGAAAATTCTTTAGGGATTACAAGTACATGCATTCACTTCATAGCAAACACCCTTGAACTTTTAATTCTGTAGGATGTTCAGCAGGTCAGAAAATGAATTAGTTTGACGTTATTCAGTCAAAATTCTATCTATGCTACAAGCTGATTTTAAATATAATTCACTAATTTCACAGCTTCTCTTAAGGGTTCTTGAGAAGGAGAAAGGCAGTGGCAGATTAAGACAAAAGATCCCAGAGTCAATTCCCAGCATTTCCAGGTAGAACTAAGAAGGAAACCCTAGAAAGCAATTACCAATTGACATATGCAACATGGCGTTAGACAGACCAAAGCTCTCACTCTGTATAGGCTTCCTGCTTGCAGCTTGGTCTGGATGTTACACTGGGAATTCCTGAGTTATTTAACCCAGGAATTGTGAGGACGAGCGAAACATCTGAACTGCACTCATAGCTTCCACTTTTAATCAACAACCATAGTCAGTGGATAGGTTCTCAGAGGTTGATTAAAAGCAAAGTGTGTGGCCTTTGCTCTCTGACTTCACAATTCCTGAGTTATTTAACTCAGGAATTCTCAGTGTTACATCCAGATTGGGACCATGTATGCTAAATATCTCAAGGAATGTTGATTTAATGTAGACTTCACAGTTTTTATTGAGGACTAAGAAGGGCAAATTCGCTTCTATTGGTTGCTTCTATGGCCAAGGTCTGAAGTAAGTCTACGACACTTTAGCAAAATCCACAGAGAAAGAGCTGCTCTTCTTCAGAACAGCTGTGCCTTAGGCAGAGAAATGTACATGTATGCCCATACTCGGACAACATGCAGATTCTGGATATTACATTTGGAGACTCTGCAATATGTACACATCGCCAGCAACTTTTCAAGACACAGGGCATCTCATTGAGAACTCTTACATATTTATTTCATTTTTATCCTGCTCTTGGATATTTACTAGCTATTATATGTGCCAGAAAAGTCTCTGGTCCATAGAGAGCAAGATAGGATAGCTGCCAGAACAGTAGCACTTGAGGGTAGCTTAAGTAGTCAAGTGGCGAGAGGAATATTGTGAAGACAAGCTGAAGTCTTGGATGTATTCGAGCTCCACAACTGGACTCCTGGTTGAGGGTTAACACTAGGATTTACATGACTCCTTCTCCCCCCTCAGATGGACATCTGACACCAGCCTTTCCCAAGTAGGTTGCACTCCAGTTTTATTGGCCTACAACTCCCATCACCCTTTCCCAGCATGCCCATTCTGGCTGGGGCTACGACAATACACATCAGAAGGATGCCAGGCTGGAGGAGGTTACTTTACTAGCTATTTGTCTCCTGATGGATCCGGTGAGGTTTGCCAGTCCATGTCCTGGTAGACCAAGAAAACCTGATCCACCATGGTTAGATTAGACAGGTCAATGGGATGAGGAGCTCACTGACAATAGTCTGTAGTTCAACGCACCATCACAGGACATTGTGAAATGTCAGCTTACCAAAAAAAACCCCCAGAGGAGTGAAACTGGCCCTCTATCATGCTCATCTTCAACATTCCAAGAATGTTAACTATGAACATTCACAATAAAGAACAAGATCTCTACATTATCCTGGAAAGGGTAGTAATCCATCTGTCTGCTACTACAGATGGCACGTTGTATTGAGCATCAAAGCTAATTGATTCAGTAGGCAAGCAGGCAAGCAGAGTCGGCTTTAAATTCCTCGAGGAAAATCCAGACTCAGAGGTTAGATCTTTCTGTTTTTCCTGCCATTAACAAAATGGTCTGTTTCTAGTCAAAAGGAGCAGAAAGCATCAATGTTCACACAGTGGGTGATCTAAGAATCTGGTTACTGAATGGTTTCTCAACTCGTCTACATGATTCTTCCAAGATTTACAGGTACAGAAGTGATCTTGGGTGCAACATAGACAGAAAAGTAGGCTGTAGTTTTGGAGCTAATGACAAAAGTTTCCAGATAAGTTATATCTCATCTATCCTATCAGTGAGGGTGTTCAAGGATAGACTGGACATGCACATGATGGGCATGTCATGGGCAGAGCCAGCTGGAGCCGAGGGTCAGACTAGATGCTCAAGAGGCCTCTTCTGACTCGCGATGTTTCTATGTTTCGATATTTCTATCTAAACCTCCTTTGGCTGCAGCTGGCATCACAGAGGTTGATGATCTGGGGATGCATGTCTGAACTTCAATGTTTCTGAGTTTCAATGACTCTGGAGTTCTACAACAGGACTATTTCAGTGTCTTAGGAAAGTGATTTTCAATGGCTTTCCTGAGCACACAGTAGCAACATCAAGGAGGAAACTTAATGATAGAACACAAGTTTTGCACGCACAAGGGCCAGGTTCAATCCCTGAAATCCCCAGAAGGCAGGAAAAGACTGCTACTCAAGACACTGGAAAGTCATTGAAAGTCAGAGCATAGGCACCTTGTGGCCCTTTCAGATGCTTTGGCTTACAAGTCCATCAGCTTTCGCCAGCACAGTCAATGGGCCAGCAAACTCTGTATTATTTATGCAGTCATGATGGTGCTGCACTTTAACTTAATTTTAAATGTGAAATTGCAAATGTTCAGAGTATTAGCCTATTTTCTCAGAGTTGGCAAACAGTTTTTGGTTTTTGTTCTAACATGCCAGGCATGTCAACACTTTTAATGCCCAGAGTGGTGGTGGGACAGAGAGAAATGGTAATCGTGTGTTTCACATGCTTTAGACACATGGCTGTCCAAAGGCCCCACCTGCCCCTTCCTGCTCTACTGCTGCTCCATAAGACTATTAAGTCCAGGTTCTAAAATTACTTAGCCACAATCACTGAGTGAAGACTTCCCTTGACACAACTTTATATGTTCCACAATAGAACTGACCCACTTGTCTCAGGAAAGCTTCCTTTGGGAGAATGGGAATCACAAAAAGTTCCAGCAACTTTGCTGGCATGGCAGAGAAAGCCTCATCAAGGGACAGAAATTCTTGCAGGCATCCTCTGCTCCCGCCTCCCCGTACTTTGCTTCACTAAATAAGGCAGAAAAGGTAACCCACTCAACTTCTCGTTTTGTTCAGTGACAAAAATACAGGCCACTCTGTTCCGTTCGAATGGGTGGTTTCCCTCCCCACTCAAGTCCAGTTGGGGCCTCCTGGGACTGTCCTTCTGCACTGACTTTCTGGTTTTACTCTTTGTCTCTTTCATAACCCATTGCTTAGTATTTTTTGCAGCTTTGTGACCTTGCCCTCTGATAAAGGAAGGAGGAAGGAGGGCTGCCAAACTGCCCTCCCAGGACTGGACAACTGCATTTCTGTAAGTGTGCTGCCAATTCTCTATTAGAAGGCCCTAGCTAGCCACTGTCTAACAGAATGACTATTCCCAGCTTGCCAAGAGAGGCCACAATACCATTTTAAACGGTGCCAGTCCTCCCTTTGCCTGAACAAATACATAAAATAAAATGTTTGTCAGGAGATCTTACTATCATTACCAGTAAACCTTCATGAAAAACTGCATCGTAGTTTCAGATGCAAAAGAACGTGTGAATGTACAAAATAATATTCTTGTGAAATCAGGTGTCTTCCTAATCTGCAAAACAAGTGAAATGGCTACACATGGGTTAGACACTGATGTGCTGGAGAAGAGGGCCTAGAGCGACACATGTAGGAGTAGGGAGCATTACCAGTGCTCAGCACCAATCAGTGAACTAGGGGCTGTCAGAAGCTTGGGTGTATTGAGCTTGGGAAATACTGCTCATTTGAGGTCAACAGTCTTTCTGCCTGCTTCCATTCCAATGATGAGAAGCAAGCAAGGGTGCTGTGCTGTGCTGTGCTTTGCTTTTGAAGGCATCCAGCTCTAAGACAGGCTGAAGTTTATATATTAAAAAACAAAAACCTAAGAAACTTTTTTCCAGGTATTGGGTACCAATTTATTCAGTTTGTGACAATTTATATTATTTGCATACAGTGGAGGATGGAAACTACCTAGTTCAAGTGTGATTTCCACAACTCATGCTGAAAACAGCATCATTTTTGGCTTCCAATTTGCACAAATAACCATAGTTTGTACTGATTTCCTTAGTGGTATTTTTTAATGTACACAGAAGTCAATAAGCTGGCTTGACTTGAATTAAGAGTGAGTTGGTATTAGCATAGGGTGAATTAATCAGAATCCAGGGGTCAGATCATGAACATTTGTCAGAACATCCTCCATCAGATTCTTTGTTCATCCCTAGTCACAACATCCTCTGGCAATGAACAGAGGTAGCTTTTTAAAAGGATTGCACAAGTTCATGGAGGACAGATCTGAAATTTTTATGTTCACAAATGATATACAACTGGTAACTAATTTCAAGGGAAGGGAAAGAGGTTAGCTTCCTCATATCCTGCCTGAGAGTTTCCCAGGGGCTTGAGTTTCCCAAGGCCAGTACCAAATCAACAGTCTTTACATTTTTCAGCTGATCTTCCATCTGCCTAAAATTCAATGCAAGGGTTAATCTGCTAACTGCATAAAGAAATGGATTAGCATTGAATTCCAAATCCTAACTGGCAGAAAACTGGAGTATCTCCTCTAGTTGCCCACCAGCACATGCACACCTTTCATAAGCAATCAGTTCCCCCGTTTTGTTTTGAGAGAGGCCTAGGTTACCCCTTTACAATTCTATTAACTAGTTGAATATACAGGATGGGGGCAGGGTGCTATCAGTATAGATAGTACAAGGAGTTGTACTTTCAAGGAGGGGATATTACAAATATGAATCAGTTCTGTTAGTCATTTCACTGTTCCCACAAGAAGCAAGGTTCCTCATCATCAGCAGGCAATCCTTCAGGACCAGACAGATTAGCAGCAGTGCTGCTCTAACCCCGGGAGATGAATGACCCCTTCCTCTAGTGCAGAGATGGGCTACTATGGCCCTACACACATTCCATCAGCCTCAGGCAGCATAGCCAAGTGCAAGAATGAAGGGAATTGTGGTGCCACAATATCTAGAGGATCACAAGTTTCCCATCCTGCTCTAGTGTCCAGCACCAATGGGTGAAGGCTCCCAAGCAGCTCATGATGAAATGCAGCAAGGAAAAGCTAGAAGAAGGGCTCCCTGATAGTTAGGAGTTGATGAGCACATTTCGAATTCTGAGTGGTGTGGCACATTCACAAAATGGGTGCCTTGTGGGTTATTGCCTATTTTTTTAAAAGAAGCTGCCCTGGTGACCATGATGGCCACTCCCAAAGTAATTCCATCCTCAGAAGAAAAACTGGTGAGACCAAAAGAAAACTAACTTGCCCAAGAATCTCAGGACAAAGCAGAGGGGGGATTCTGAGCTCCAAAACACTGAACCGCTCTGCTGAACAGAAACAGAGATGGTGCTGGAGAACAATATTTTGCTTTGTGACAAAGCAGTGCCCCAGTTAAAAACAAGCAAGCAAGCAAAACCCAGCACAGTAAATTACTATTAAACCCTGTAATTTAACAACTCTAAGAAACGAAATTAAACTCAGGAGGGGCAAGGAACCTGGTGAGTGTGAAGAGAGGTGCCTGCCCTGGAGACCCCAGAATTGCCTGCAAATGCAAACAGTGCAGGGAGACTTGTGTTCAAATCCCTGCTCAGCCATAAAGTTGTCACTGAGTGAATATGGACCCCTTGTTCTCCTTCAGCTTAGCCAACTTCACAGGGCTGTGAGGGAAACATGGGAGGAAAGTTGGGGGAACATGCATACTGCCCTGAATTCTCTGGAGGAAAAGCAAAACAGCAGTACAGGTACATCAATACATTTACCACTGATCCTTGATATCACCATGGCTCCCAACACCTACCTGCGGTTTGGATACATTCTTCTTGAGTTTGTTGAGTGTCTTGCGGTTGTAAGGTTCACCACCTGGGCGCAGCTTAACTGTGGTGTCGCATGTCTCAGCATGGAGTTGGGGGAACATGTGGAGCGCCTCCTGGGCAGGGAGAATGATGAAGTATTACTTCTGAGACAGCAGCTTCCACGTAACTTGTGGCCGTCAAACCACATGCACAGCCTCACATAGCTGTATATTCCCATGCCCTTGGAGATGTGTGACAGGTCAGACATTTCCGTGAACAAGATGACTGAGGGCATTCTTAAAGGGCAAAGTAAGGAATTAGCTATTGAGCAAACTGGGGGATGAAAGAGATAATGGACTACAGCTAGGAGGTAATCACAGAAAAGGAGGCAATGCCACCTGAAGCAGGAATAGGAGACCCTCTGCTCTTGAAAGAAGACTAAGTCATCATTGATAAATATGCAATTTAAAGGGTCTTGCATCTGGCACCAAAGGGTCCCAAGCAAGGAACACAGCCCCCCTTACTCCTGGAGGTCCTGGGAGCCCATGCTACAGGCAAGTCAACTAGGACACAAATCCTACAGATAGAAGCTTCCTGGGCGTGAAAAACAGGTGATCCTCATGAACTGATCCCATGCCATTACTGCTAAATAGTTCCAACACAGCCATTGCATGCCCTCGGTCTGGGCCCTCCCGTCTCTTCTGTTTCAGGAACTGCTTTTTTAATAGCGTGGGAATGGAATGACCCGTTTCAGCAAACACCTTTAGACTGAGTCAGACTACTGGTCCACCTAGTCCAGTATTGTCAACCCTGACTGACAGTGGTTCTCCAGGTTTTCAGGAAGGATTCTTTCGTAGCCCTTTCTGGAGAACCTGGGTGTTGAAGCTGGGGTGATCTGTATGCAAAGCATGTATTCTACCACCAAGTTGTTTTGCTCCAACCAGGGTGTCTGACATCGCAATTATTGCCCATATATGTCTGAACAAATGTTCAATTTTCCGAGTGAACAGTAGGACTCAGAGATCATCCCAACCTAGCACAAAATCCCTTTCCTAGTAAGAAGATGTGCAAATCCAAACTAGATTCTTTTGACAAACTGTCAACATAAAAAGAAGAGATAACTAAGCACTCCTCTGTATTCCTTCAATGGGCTGTTCCTGCCCTGTGAAGATTTCACAAACTTCCTCTGGCTGAAAGAGGCTACCAGATGGAGGGTCACACCATGGAGCCATGTGCTGCCAAGATACACAGACAGAGGTAGTAGAATCCCAAAGGTAGCGCACAAAGTTTATTGAAGTCTTTCTATGTTAGAAATAGGAAGGGATCAAAGTTCAATGGAGGCTAGAGATTAAACAGCTGGATTCTAAACCCAGTTAAACCATGGATATTCTCTCTCTTTCTCGTTCTCTCTATCTCCTGCTCCCTCTCCCTCTCCCCACCACAACAACTGTTGTGCTGGTGAACAAGAAGGAAATACACACACCAGGTCTCCATGATACAGCAAACCATAATTTAATTTAAATCTCTATACAATACAATCTCTGAAGGAATAAAGAAGTCCACTCTCCATGTTTTCATACCTGTAGTGATGGAGTAAGAGACACTCTCTTCAGCACCTTTTTCTTGTGATCGTTCAGTATCCCATCAATCTTTCTCATGGGAGGGAGATAAAGTTCATCTGGGGGATGATTGTCAAAACAAATGAGAAGGTTCACCAACATCGTCCAGGGGGTAACGTGTGACTACAGCCAGAAACATCTAGAGCTGCTCTGCACTAAGGAAATCCTTATTTTTTTTTTTTGTGGTCAGAGTTTTACACAAGCAAGAAAAGGGGCACACAAAGCTGTTAAACACCATGCTGAAGATGCCAGGATTCCTGGACATGACCAAACTTTCTTGCATGTGCTATGCCAGTTATCGCCAGACTTTTTGACTACAACTCCCAGCATTCCTAAGCATTAGCCTTGTTAATTAGCTGCAGTCCAATACATCTGGTGTGCACCAATTTGAGGAAGGCTGACCAACATATTTAGGGAATATGCTCCTTTTAAGAAAAACTGTAACCAGCTTCACGTATGTTTAATCTTATGGTATTTAGTGCTTCCAATTTCCAGACAAACTTGGATAACACAGTTTTCTCCCCAGTTCCCAAAAAAGCACAATCACAACTGTGTTCTTCAACAGCAAGAGGTCAGAGCTACTGTTATTATTTGGCGCAGCACAAAATCAGACACTTCTATGCACAACCTTGAGATCTTTTTAAAAAGAGCAGTACGCTTCTTGCTTTATTACAGCAACAAGGAATAGGACAATCTAAATTATGCAGTTTTTTTCTTTAGAAAAGTTCTGAGCAAGCGTTTCTAAGGAGCTAAAACCTTAGAACTCTGTAAGTCTACAAGACCAACCATTACAAAGCAAAGCTGAGCAGCTCAGGTCTGCTGACAGGCAAAAATGAAGAATAGAAAAGGACTGGCCTAGAGAAACAAAACACATCTGACTCATAAGGGTTCTCCCTGTGGCCAGCCCATGCCCCATTATTCAAGGATGCGCACCGTTTGTATCCTCAAGAGCTTGGATCATGTCCGGGTCAAGGGCAGTGCTGACCAACATTTCCACATAGCTACGGTACATCTCCTTCATGGCTCGTGTGTTGAGAATACGGCCCGTCGGCACTCGTTCTAGATGGAAGATGAAGGGTTATTTTATTATTTCAGTCATTTATATCCCTTCTTTCCTGAAAAAAAAGTTCAAGGAATTCACAAAAGCATAAAACACAAGAAGAGTACATGGGAAATGTTGCAAATACAATATATTAAAATAAAAAACCCAAACTAAACTAGTAGCGGGGAAATGAGGGAAAAAGCATGGCATACAGATTGGCAAGAGACCTCTCCAGTCGACCTAACTGGCAATTTCCCCAGCCTGGCTCTTCGGCACAAATGCTCTGTAACAGCCCTCCCTAACCTAGCCTCCCCCAGATGCACAGGACTTCCATCTCCCCCCAGGCCCAGCCAGCACGGCCAATCATCAAGAATGCTTGGCATCGTAGTCCAAGACATCTGGAGGTTATCAGGTTGAGAAAGCCCCCTTCCTACCGTCCTCACCATCCAGTTCTTTGCAAGCACCCTCCACAATCACTGGGAAGAAGATACCCCCTTCTCGTCAGCTTTGCAGCCTCCTTGGAATCCATGGCCCACTCAGAGGTTGGACAGAATTGCCTTCACCACTACCACAGACAGCTTCCTCATCAAGACTCTCAGAAGTGTCTCACACATGCACTGCTGACAGCAAGTAACATGGGGTAGCCTCTCTACCCTGCTCTACTCACCCTCCTCGCTCTGCTGGTCAGGGCTCGAATCAGAGTCAGAAGAGGAGGCTGCCTCCTTGAGCCATTTTTTCCTCTTCTTGGGAGGCGGCTCAGCTTTGACCTTGGCTGGCTTAGGTTTGGGTTTTGAAGTTCCACCAGCTGGGGCAGCTTTTGCCACAGTGGGCGCAGGGGGGTCCGTTTTCTCCACTTTGGGGAGCTTCTCTGCCTTGGTCAGTTTTTCTGCTTTGGGGGGCTTTTCAGACTTCTCGAGCTTGGGGGGCTTTTCTGGCTTAGGCCCTTTTTCAGGCTTGGGGGGCTTCTCCGTCTTCTCTGTCTTCTCAGCCTTCGGGGGCTTCTCGGCCTTGGGTGGCTTGTCCAGTTTCTCAGCCTTCTCTGGCACCTCCAGCTTCTCAGGTTTCTCGACTTTTGGTGTCACTGGAACCTTAGGGCCAGAGGCTTTGGGCTGGCTCTGTCTCCTGCATCAGGAGGAGAAAGTTGTGAGATCTAAGAGCACCCTGCATTCAGGCATCAAAGAGAGAATGACCTCAGTTGACCTGAGGATCCAGGGTTACTGAGGCAGGAGGGCTTGGGAGCAACTCAGGCTGTGATGGTAAGCAGTTAAAGAGAGGATGAGGGCATGGGGACGCAGAGGGGACAAGTTTGAGGGGGAAAATGAACAGGTTGCCATCTAATTTACAGTTTTAGCTGGAGTCAACCAAGGCCCAGGATGCATGGAAAAAGCATAAGCTTGTGAGAACAGGGTTGTTAGGTCCTTGTATAACCTAGCCTACAGTTGTGCTCCCTGAAAGATTATAATGGGGCTTTTAATGTTTGATCGGATGTTGGTATCTATGCTGTTTAAAATCTACATTAAACCACTGAGTGGGGTCATCCAGAGTTTTGGAGTGTGTTGCCATTTGTATGTTTCACCTTTTCATCACCAGTGGGTGAGGCTGCGGATGTGCTAGCGTCTGGCCGTGACAATGGACCGGATGAGGGCTTACAAACTGAAACTCACTCCAGACAAGACTGGGATGGTGTTGGTGGGCAGGTCCTCTGATCATATGGGGGTGTTCAAGACAGGGCTGCACTCCCCCTGAAGGAGCAGGTTTGTAGCTTGGGCAGTGCTCCTTGATCCATCCTTGTCACTTGAGGCTCAGATGACCTTGGTGGTTCGGAGTGCCTTCTACCAGCCTTGGCTGGTGGCCCAGCAATGCCCCTATCTGGACAGGGATAGCCTGGCTTTAGCAATCTACTCTCTGGCAAACTCTTAGTTAGACTACTGCAGTGTACTCTGCATGGAGCTGACCTTGATGATGGTTCAGAAGCTCGGAGAGGCAGTGTGGTGTAGTGGTTAAGAGCATGGGACTGGGACTCTGTCGATCTGGGTTCTAGTCCCCGCTCAGCCATGGAGCCAACTGGCTGACTTGGGGCCAGTCACAGACTCTCAGCCCAACCTACCTCACAGGGTTGTTGTTGTGGGGATAAGATGGAGCAGGAGAATGATGTAAACTGCCTTGAGCCCTTTGTAGGAAAAAGGCGGGATATAAATCGAAAAACAAACAAACAAACAAAGCTGCAGCTAGTGCAGAATGTGGCAGCCAGATTAATAACTGGAACCAGCAGGACCAAATACACAAGACTGGTTCTGGCCCATTTGCATTGGCTGCCACTACACTTCTGGTTCCTATTCAAAGTGCTAGTTTTAACCTATAAAGCCTTACACAGCTTAGAACCACAATACCTGACAGAGCACCTCTCCCAACTGCAATCTGTTCAGATACTACAGTCAGTATCTGGGGCTTTCTTCCGAGGCATCACAGGGGGTGACAACAATGGGGTGGGCTTTTTCTGTGGTTGCCCCTGGCTTATAGAATAACTTCCCCACTGTGGCCCACCTGGTGCCAAATTTGTAATCTTTTCTGCGCCAGGTTAAAACAGCCCTCTAGAGACATATCTGGGTATGCAGTGGCTTGAGGGTTTGCCCATCCTGGGTATTTCACCAAGTTTGATATTGTTTGGTATTAACAGGTTTAAATTTTCCAACGTTTAATTTATTTTTTATTTTATACATGTTATCCTAATATCTGCTTGTTATTAGTATTGTACAAACATTTGTATTTTATATCTGTTTTATGTACTGCTGTGAACTGTTCAGAGAGCTTTGCTGTGGGGCAGTTTAGAAATGAAATAAATACTACTACTATTACTAACATTAAGGTGCTATTTTAGCTTTTTAACATATTAATAAATTCGATACATTAAAAATTTCCTTTCATATTTTATTTTCTGATTGTAATTTTTGTGAACCTCTAAAGAAATGCATCACTAGGCTAGGGCAATGAACCTGCTAGATGAGTAGGTCAGTCTGAAGTCAACAGACTCCGTTCTATGTTCCTTTAGATAGGGAGAGGAAAGGACAAAGCATTCCGGCATGTGAGGTGAAATCATACAGAAGCTAGAAACCATGAGCAGTAGCAGAGGTGAAAGATAAGACAGGAAGTTTCCCCTTTAGGATGTCACCTGGACAATTTAATTCAGCTTGAATATTGGGGTGGGGAGCAATCAGTATATTTTCTGGCCAGCGTTCAGACATAATTGTGGAAAGGGGGGCATTTTAAAGCCTGCCTATGCTGGAATAAATTTGTATAAGCAAGCAATGAACAGCTGGGCTTTCATGCATCCCCAGCTGGGAAGGGCCTCTCTCACACAAACACACCCCTCTTTTTCCTTTACCTGACTGCTTGTAGGGGCCGGTGCCAGGGCTTCTTGGAACAGACACGCACGTAATCTTTCTTGTTGATATTCTCCAAGAACTTAACATAGAGTCGCTGGTACCGGTTCTTAGCATCACCAAAATACCCTAGATACTGCGGGGGTGAAATAAGAAAGGAACTGAGTATCGAGAAAGAAGGAGGGGTGGGGAGGAAAAAGAAAAGGCCCTACATACAATTTTCCCTTTGTAGACGAAACAAGGGGATGTGGAACTGGAAAGCCTATCCAATACTGCTGAGATGAAGCCCAAGGGGAGCCCCTTATGCACAAGAATGATGGTCAGAGAAGGCGCAGATTTACTTTATCTACAGGTCACCAGCCAAAAGTTTCCCTTCATCTTGGGGTGGGAAAGGAGTATTTCTTTTACAATAGGAAAAGGAAAAAAGGGATAATGGAAGGGGATAAAAACCTGGGATTGATGTATCACCATGCATAAATCATACAGGACCTCCCGCCCATACAATTAGGGCTCCTGTCAGTGTTCACTGACAGTACAGTTTTAAATGATCAACGAAGCAAAACCCTGGTAAATTGGGAAGGGCCGGACAGGTGGGGACACTTACATTGCTGGTAGCACAAAACTGACGCTGCCCGTCCTTGATTTCAGGAGTGAACTTCTGAAGCAAAGCTTTCTGAACCCGCCAGATCGGGGGTGGCTCCCGCCCAGTCTGAAGGGCCAGCTGCAAGAGGACAGACAAGGGAGTGTTTGTGACACAAGGATACTAACAGCAGCAATTCTATAGAAAGCCCCCGGTTCATTTCCCAGCATCTCCAGGTAGGGTTAGGACAGAATCCTGCCTGGAAACATGCCAAGCTGCTGTCTGTGAGTGTTGACAATATTGGTGTCGATGGACAAATGCTTTGGGTCAGTCTCAGCTACTCCCTCTTTCTCACCTGCCTCCCCAGGAGAGTCAAAGCAGATGTGCAATGTGGAAAATGCCTGAATTGTCGGTCTAGTAAGATTTATGTTTTCTTCACATTACAGAAAAAAAGGCAAGTAAGCAGAGACATAATGGTGGTGTTTTAAGGAAGGCATGGTATAGAGAAAGTGGAGAGGAAGAATTTTTTTTCCTTTTCCTACAATACTAGAACTTGGGTCATTCCATGAAGCTGATTGGTGAGAAGCTTAGAGCTAATAAAAGGAAGTACTTCTTCACCCAACATATAAAGTATGGAATTCACTGCAACAGGAAGTAGGGATGGCCACCAATCTGGATGGCTTTAAAAGGGAATTGGACAGATTTATGAAGGACGAGGCTATCAGTGGCTACTAGCCTTGCAGGCCATGTGCTTTCTCCTTTACCAAAGATGGCATGCCTGCATAACCAGTTGCTGAGGAGCTGGGCGGGAGGAGGCCTTGCACCCACCCTGCTTGAGGGATCCTGGGGGCAGCCGGTTTGCCACCATGTGTACAGAGTGCTGGACTAGATGGACCTTGGGTCTGATCCAGCAGGGCTTTTCTTATGGTATCTAAATCGCTAGCTTGTTACTAGTCGTCAAAAACATCTCTTTTTCTCAGAGGTTTTAGAGTTTCATTTTCAGATGTAACTCTCTTTATATATGATATTTTCAAGCCTGTGCTGTATTGTGTTGCTTTGTTGTATTCTATTCTCTTAGCTTTTAGGGTTCTATGTTTATTATATCCCTTAAGTTCTGTAAAATGCCTTTCAAATGCCTGTAGTTGGGCATATTAAAATATAATACAGTTAACAGGGCATATACTGAAACTGGTAAAGGCCAGTATCCCCATGAACTATAACCTGGTCTAGAACCACATAAAGAAGCCACCTTGGTGAGGCTAAGCTAGTCTGGCTCTGGTCAGTATCTGGATGGGAAAACACCCAGGAACCACCCCCACACTCTACCCTGAGCTTCATCATGCAAGAAAGGATAAAAATGTAATTTGAAAAACACAGTGCATTGATACATAGCCTGAAAGAGTTTCATGAAGACAAACGAACTGCAGAGGAATGAAATATTTTGGGGATCTCTTTTGACCCTTGGTTGGGTCAGGACCAAGATGGTCATACTTTGGTCACTCTGAAATCCATGGGATGCAACTTGTTGTAACTTCTCATGATGATTTCACTGAGAATTAAGAGCAACTAACACAGTCTTAGTCCAACTCCTTGTATTTGTTTAGAAAAGACAGTCATTTGTATGTTGTACAACTGTCCCAGATTCTAATTATATATCTGGTTCTCATAATCTTGCAAAGTTATCTTTAAAGTTTGATTCTTCAAATTTGAAATTTGGAAATTCACTTTTTGAGACTCAATGCTTTTGAATTTGGTAAAAATAAGCAGTTCCATTTTGATAAACAGAAGCTCAAAGTTTGGGATCAGTGAATGCACTAGGGATGCTGAACTTCTTCCAGCTAAGGGCCTAATTTCATTTTGTGGGAGCTCCTGGGAGATGGGAAACACATACTAGTGGCAGGAATAGCCAAAGGCAAAATAGGCAGGGCCAACAATATCAAAAACTCAAACATATTTTAACTTAAACCTCTTATTGCAGTAATTACAATTGGGGTCGGGTGCGGGGAGACTGCACAAAAGCTGGGAAACCACCAAATGGCCAGTGGTTGGGTGATAGTGGACTGACCATTCAAGGAGGGCATATTTGATCCTCAGGTCTGAAGTTCTGCAACCCTTCTTTAACAGCACTGCTTAAACTTGGTGGGTATAGATCTGACAGGCCCCCTGGAATGAAGACTGCTAAGAAGCCCTGGTGCAAAATTACAATTTTCTGTCTAAATGGATATTTTTTAAAAATCACAAATCTACATAACGCCATAATCTTACCCAAAGGCAAGAATTCAGTCACTGAACTGCGGAAGTCCACCATGAAACTGCCCTCCACATCTGATGCTTAACATTGGTTCTGCTCTGAACTACAGCCTTCAAACTACCCATCCCTGCCAGCCCCAGGACACCTGACACACCTTGAGGGCCTGGACATCCTCAACACGTATGACAAACTCATCACGCTCTCGGAAGATTCCCTCCCCGCCGCTTTCCACCTCCTCTTCATCCGTCTCCCCACATATGGCTGCCGTCTCCTGCTTCTTGGCGAGATGAAGGGGCCGCGTGTCCTCAGGATCCTCAGGCTCGGGGGATGCCTGGGCTGGTGGCTCTTCAGGGACAGGTGGTGCCTCCTTGGGTGAGGGAGCTGGGGAGATGGGTGGTGGGGGCAGCTCTGGCTGAGGTTCAGCCTCCACCGAGGGAGCCGGACTGGGGGGCTTCTCCTCCACTGGCGGCACATCTGCAGGTGGGGGGGAATGCAGGAGGGTGGAGGGGTTAACTAGCAGGAATGCAGAATGGAAGGTCATCCTTAATATCATGGGTGGGGAACACATGGCCCTCCAGAGGCTGTTGGACTACAGCTCCCGTTGTTCCTCACTGCTGGCTATACTAGCTAGGAATTTGGGGGTCTGCTGTCCAACATAATCTGGAAGGTGATATGTCCCCCTTCTGTGCTTTAGATTGTGTGTGTCCTTTTAGTTCTATGTTTACCACCCCACCCTGTTAACAAATAAACAGGTGTGTAACTATATCTGGTAAGTAATGAAATTACAGACTTCTTACCCATATATGAATACTTTTGTATCTGCATATATCCAGAGATTCTTACCTGTGTTTTTGGATTATAACGGCTTAATTTTTGGTTGGTTAGCTTGTATTTCTTTTTGTTGCATTTTCTTTTCTCTTTATTGTACTATATTTAATTCTATGTTTTAATTGTAAAACAGCAGTGGCGGCAGCAACAAAGAAACAAACCAAGAGAGAGAGACAGACAGACAGACAGAGACACGGAAGGTGTGGTGAGTGTGATTAAATATTAGGAGCGTTTGCATGTACCAATAAGCCAAGAATCCTGGCTTAATAAATCATGATGTGAACTAGCTGTGTGCATGCAACCCCATTTATCCCTCCCTTTGAGCAAACAGGTAAATAAATAAGGGGA